ATAGCATGATGTATCCTCCATAATTTTCGTAGCCTTCTTAACTAAATCCTTTAACCTTTATTTCACTCAAAAACTCGGAAAAATCTTCACCGAGTCACACACATATCAAGTCCTATTCTAATAAGCCTCTTCTTAACTTACTGGTATCTTAATTAGGTGACGCTAATGAGGGCGTGCGTCTTATCTACAGCGTTAACTCCCAGCATCCTTTTGGTGATAATGCCCCAGCCTCTCTCTCTCTCTCTCTCTCTCTCTCTCTCTCTCTCTCTCTCTCTCTCTCTGTTCCTTTGTCTGCGTAAGATGCTGTACCCCTTTTTGCTGGCAGGAGTCGATGTAAAACAACCCAAGAAACATTTGACACAGTTAATGAGCTTACATTGTACACTATGATAGAAGTAATAAGTTTACACTACTAGGATGCAGACGATAACACTGATAAACGTAATTATTATAAATATTATAAATCTTTTCCCTTTACAGAACGAACAGACAAGGCTCCTGAAAATGCACTAGCAGAAACGGCAACGACCTGTGTGTGTGCGTGAAAGGTGGAAATGAAGGGAAGTGAAGTGATAGGTTGTCTCATCACTGATAACTTTATACCAACTAATACATTCACCCAGATAAACATCAATAGGTAATCAATGAACAAGTCACCGCTGCCTTCACTTCAGGTACAGACCCACACAGGTAAAGCGATATCGATCTCACCTGTATATGAGTGTTGTATAAATAGTTACTGAATGGTTTAATGTATTGTTTGGGTCAGGTTACGTTACAAGAAGTCGGTGTGGAAAGGTCAGGTTAGGTTGGGTTAGAGTTGGTTGGGTTAGGTTAGGATAGGTTTGGTAAAGTAATCTTGGATAGCTAATTAGCATGTGATCCCATAGTTCAATATTCTTGGGCGTAAACTAGGATTTCATAAAGTCTAATGAATACTGTGTTGAAATGAAACCTTTATGTGTGAGCGAACAACGACACCAAACACGGAAGAGGTTACACACACCTCTATCTATAAGTACTAAGAAAGATGTCCAGTATGTATAATAAAAATCGATCATATATTCATAAAAACAAACATTCAAATAACATCAAATGGTTATGTTAGTAATAAAAAGAAGTGAAAATTGGTTTATGGAGGACAAACGACTCGGAAACAGATAGTGAACAGCGAGATTGGTATCCCCGCATCCCCTGAGCAACGCTCTTGTGCATTATGCAGAAGACCCGACAGCAGCACCCTTATCCACTACCTCCTAAGATGTCCCCACACACAACGCTTCCGTGACGCCTGCTGGACCACCACTCCACGACCCCCTGACGGAGACACGATGATCCTCCCCATACTGGCCAGATATTATGTAAATAACATTGATTATGTGTTAAAGGAATATCCTTCCTCCTTAGGCTTTAGTAAGCCCCTTTATAATATTTATACTGTATATACTTGTCACACTTGCCAGATGCTTCTGGTGTCATTGTACAGGGGTACCTAGTGACAGCACTAGGATCCCGCTTCCTCTATCAAGGAATAAACAATTGAAATTGAATTGAACAGACTATCTTGTTCTGAGTCGCCCGATAGGTGGTGCTGGTAGCCCTGAGTACTGGAGCCCCAACATGCTGCCGTCGAAGGTAGGAAGCCTTAAGGGAAGCCTCTCAATAATCTGAGATATGGATGTACAGTATATGTGCTGAAGGTTCCATATCCTCGCCTCCACAACTGTCTTAGTTAATTAGATTGGGCTATACCCTAACGCAACCCTAAGCCTAACTTAACGCTAACCTCACCTAACGTTAACCTAGCCTAACCACCCTAATACTAGATACCTGTGGGGATTAAGTTAACGTTAGGATGGTTAATCTTCAGGTGAGAGTAGTCACAGCAAGACCTCCTTAGGTAACGTTGAGTCGGTGCTTAAGTGGTGTATGTTCGCTTTCATAAGATGTTCACAATACAAATCTACAATGTCTGTGTGTGTGTGTCTGTGTGTGTCTGTGTGTCTGTGTGTGTGTGTGTGTCTGTGTGTGTGTGTGTGTGTGTGTGTGTGTGTGTGTGTGATAAAAGAGTTCGTCTATGGTGATGAGTAACATGAAAAAATCTAACGTAAGGAAAATCAAGGACTTGACTTGAGTCACACCGTGAACGCCACACCATATATAATTACACTTCAGTATTTTAATTATGTTGTCAATAGATAATTTATAATGAATAGAGACACGAATAGCTGAAATCTCTTAGCGTTGATTAGCTGTGAAATGCTAAAACACTCCTCAACGAAACAACTTACAGCATTATTATTATTACTTATTTCTAGTAAGGTAGAAAATTAGGAATATAGTGTTAATGAGGAGGCGGAGGAGGGACTAGCATTCAGCATCCCCCCACAAGCTGTACTGTACAGTATGTTGTCCATGAGGGGATAAACTCAGCCAGGCAGGAGGATACAGGCGCCATCGATCGCCTATTACCCCAGCCCACCACCTACCTCCTCCAGTCCCTCCATATACACTACACTACAGTGACGTCTATACCAAATTTCATATACACTAATTTCATTGTTTTGTCTATGTTTATAAGGCACTGAAACTAATAGTATATGTTATTGAAGTTTGTATTGTATTGTATTTATTAACCTTTTTTCTGCTGTTCATCAGATTAGTTCTGAAGTATTATTGTTTTGTTTGTTATAAGTTTATCAGTGGTCTGTGTTGATGTGTAAGTGATCAATTTATTTATGAGGTCCAGCAGTCTCGTTATCGACGCATTAGGTGGAAGTCCCTGTGATTGTCTGTTTCTATAAATGTTCTTACGTTGGCCGGACACACGCGCCGCTTGACAGGAAAGGTATTAGCTTGGTTCTCCCATGGTCTACTAGGGCCACTATTAAGGCAGCTAGTGTCATTAACGCACTTAATTTGGTCAGTGTCCACATAGTAGGGTCTGTTTTTGTGTATCCTTAACTATGGTCCTTTTATCGCTGGACAGCGGTAATAATAGGAGTTATAAGAGTAGTGAAAGTAATTATGGGGAGTGATAAGAATTAATGTTGTGTACTACGCTAGGAGACGATGGTGAGTCAGCTCGTGTCATAATGAGGAACAAGGCGTGTATAGTATATGCTGAATTGGCTTGACGTTCACTCAGGCAAATAAACTGTATCGAGTTCAATTTTCAATTTCAATTGTTTATTCCTTGATAGAGGAAGCGGGATCCTAGTGCTGTCACTAGGTACCCCTGTACAATGACACCAGAAGCATCTGGCAAGTGTGACAAGTATATACAGTATAATTATTATAAAGGGGCTTACTAAAGCCTAAGGAAGGAAGGATATTCCTTTAACACATAATCAATGTTATTTACATAATATCTGGCCAGTATGGGGAGGATCATCGTGTCTCCGTCAGGGGGTCGGGGAGTGGTGTGTATCGAGTTGACGATTATAGTCCTTACCTTGAATAACTCTCAACAATGAATAACATCTCTGGGGAAAAAATGTAAACTTCATGTGAAGATACGAGATGTTAGATGTCTTCTGAAAAATAAAACCAGGAATAATTCTTAATAGAAAGTGTATATTGTTCAATGGGTCTGCAACTTAAGATAGGCTTTTTAATAAGGAATATATCCCTTGAATGTGGCAGTCGATGTACGTACAGTATATTGGGAAGAGTTACATCAAGATCAAGGTTGGAGGGATACATCAATAAGTAATACTAATAATATGAGTTGGTAAATGTTTAGATGTACGAGTATACTGTATTAAGTAAACTTACATTAGTCGGTAAAGTTACTTCTCTAATCTCTCTTTCCATTCACGAGGTCTTAGCATTTAATGCCCTGAATCCATACTCAACTGTTTCCCGGCATTGTAAAACAGAATTAACAGACTTAATAAACTACTGGAATTCTATGTACGTTTTCAGTATAATGTTTTCCATTGCCCCTCCCGTATTTTAGACAACCTTTTCAAGCTTGGGCGAATGAACTAGTGGTGTGCGCGCTCTGCCAGTGTCGTGTGTCAATTTCAAAAGAAGAGAGGGCCCGGGTGGGAGCCTTTAGCGTTGGTCTACTCCATGCGGTAAGAGGCAACACTTGTGTCTGCTGCGTGTGTTAGTTTGGGTCTGCTTGTTCGTGCAGGTGCGAATGTATGTTATTATATATTCATTACTAGTTACTCAGCATCAAAATATGCTTTGTTTTTTTACTCAAGATTGTCCCTTGCTTGTGGATCACGTTTATATCATGAATATTATATTTAAACATTCTATTTACTGAGACGGGTCTTTGTGTTAATATTTTCAATGAACGATTTTTTATAATAATGAATATTTTAAACTACAAGAATATCTTCAGTCTTCGCTCTCACACTTCAGGGATGGAACCAGGAGCTGCTCGCGGGCGGCGGGCCTCTTGGTGTTCCAGCTCGTGAACACTGCAGAGTCGTAGACAGTTACATTATTTGTTTAAATTTCCTCTTGATATTTTCCGCTGTTCCTAAACTATTTGAAATATAAATTTGATAATATATTGAAAGCTTGCAGAAGTCACTATTTATGGGCAAAAATTATATGACGGGACGTGACTGAGTGGTGCAAGAGTATCCTAGCCGTCGGTTGTGTGGTGTGAGGTGGACATGTGGGTCGAGGATGGCGGGGTAGCGTGCCTGGCGTGGCCCCTCCACCCTGGCAGCTGCAGGTGGTGGTCGCGGCGGGTTCTTTGTTCGGGAGGACCCGGGGAGGCGGGGACCTGGGGAGGCGCCAGCCACGACCCCCCGTCGTCAGGAGGCAGACGTACACATGTACACAGAAAACGGTCAACTACACGACTACAGAAAACGTACTCGCACGTGGTCCGATCATTTATGAAAACAAGACCTTAAAATCTGAACATTAGTGATCAGTGGGTATGTTATTGTTTCAAATGAAGGAAAGAATGGTTGACATGTCGTACATGTGTGTTCATGACGACCTGGTGGTCTTAGAGGAGTGTCCTGGCGGGTCAGGTGGCGTGGGCGCGGCGGTGGTGGCGGCGAGTGTGTCTCAGTACACTCGGCGGGGCCTGCTGCTGCTGCGCCCACCGCTGGTTGTGCGTCCACTACTACTCAATCTCAGGTATTTACACTATAGAACAACGCCGATTTCCTGTGATTTTATACAGTGATTGAACCTCATAACACCAAGTCCACACGGTGTTGAAATGGGGTGGACGTTGGTAGTGTACGTCATTAAATAATCGAAGGGCGTCTCTGCCCTCGCCTATCGGCGGCGGCGGTGGAGGTGGCGGTGTTGGTGCTACTAGTGGTTGCGTGAGACAGGAATTCGACGCTCACACCTGCCACCACGTATTGGTCATATATTTATATAAAACGTATTACGAGCATCATGTTGGGCCCAACAAGTGTGTGATACAGGATGCTGGGCGGGCTGGCTAGTGTAGAGGAAGTGTGAGGTGGTGATGTGTAGACGCTGCAGGCGGCGGTGGCGGTGCAGGTCGTGTTGTTAGTGATGACGCCATATTCATGCGTCTTGGCGTGGCCTCTATCCTCCACTCTGATTCCACAGTTTCATATATAACTTTTTATTTATTTTACATATGAAATACGTTTGAAGGCATGACCTAACCTGTTGCATAGTTGAGTAGAGAAAACAGTGGGTAGAGCTTTCACTGGCTAGTGGGGGAGGCAGTGTGGACCTGACAGGGTGCAGCACCCAGCCTCAGGGTACCTGGGTCCTGGGGGAGGGAGGAGGCAGGGCAGGCTCCTCTGGCTTCCCTTGGGGACCCTCCCAGCCTTCACCTCCAAGCTAAACATGGCTGGGTGTGGTGTTAGCTAAACGCACAGTAGTGCATCAGTACATTACAGTGAGAGTAAAGCAAGTTCTCTAAATGATTTTGGTGCCATATGATATATTTTGTTGAGATATATAAAGTGAAAATGAACGTAATAGAGGCGAAGCAGCTACAAATCAGTCAAGTTTGTTTGCTAAGCCATGTGAAGTACTTTTTTAGTAGTTTGTTGACATGAGGTTGTGTATGGGAGGCCTTATAGTAGTCAAGATTTTGGTGTTGTGGAGGTGGACCACAGGCAGGCTTATACAGGGTATACATGTTATAAAAATCTTTAACCTGAGGAGATAATATTTGAGTGAATTTACTCTAGAAAATCCTTATTTATGATAGAAAAGTGTGGTTTATTAGGGTAAAGTTCAGGTTGAGTTGTGTGTTTTGGTTAAATTGTAGCAGTGACTTAATGCCAAGATATTGTTCCCACTAAGTAAATCCACTTCAAGTAAGATTTTGTTATTCATTTTATATTGAATTAATTATTATGAAGTGGTAAACAGGTCATGATTTCTGTGGTTTTAGGGGTTTGGTAATTTGGCAAAAAGAATCTGAGAATGTCACCAATTATGAACCACTGAGCGCTGTAATGGGAAGTGCAAGTCACATCTTAAATGAGCACAGAGCTTAATGCAATTTTCCATAATTAACTTTTATTTTTATTGAAATCATAAACAAATAAGAACATAAGAAAATAAGGAGTCTGCAATAGGCCGGTTGGCCTGTGCATGACAGCTCCTGTCGAGAGTTACTACCACTCTCTATCATCCATGAATCTATCTAGCCTCCTTTTGAAACTTTCCAGAGTTCCAGCACTTACTACAAATTGCTAAGCTTGTTCCACTCGTCCACCACCCTATATGTGAACCAGTTTCTTCCTATCTCCCTCCTAAACCTAAATTTATCCAACTTAAATCCGTTGCTCTGAGTCCTATCCTGCTGTAAGCTAAGAGGAAAACACATATTAATGCTCAAAACTGTGAAAAGTATATAGTACTACTGAAGTGTACAGAATTATCAGTAAGAAATATTTTGTTTATGTCAACAAAAATCCAATTGTTTGTGTTCACTTTATTCGATTACTATAGATCACTGAACAATATGGTTATTGTATCCCCTGTGTGTATTTGGGTCATATGCACTGTGCCACCTCCTTGCCTCCCCCCATGTTTTTAGTACTGTAGTGTATTTGATAATTAAATACCATTGTTAAACTGTTACCAAGTACTGTATAGTAGAGTATGCGGAACAGTCATTTAAGTTTCTGGTTGCTCGTGGAACACAACCTTCAGGCACCAGCTAGCTCTAAGTTTTGAAGATAAATTAATGTTATCAATACAGTAAAATAAGTTAAAGTGTTATGGAGTATTAACATTTGGTTCAGCAAGATGAGGATAGCATAAGAACATACGAATGGAGGAAATTGCAGCGGGCCTATTGGCCCATACTGGGCAGTCCCATTTACACCCAACCCCTATTGCTCATATATCCACCCAACCTATGTTTGAAGCTATCCAGCATATTTGAGTTATTGATGATATTTGGTAACTTGGTCCACTCATCCACTACTCTGTTTTCAAGTAAGATGATGCAGTACATCTTTAGACAAATGGTATGAGTTAAAGTCTTTCGAAGAGCTCTGTACTGTACTGTTTTAATAACTTTATTTTGTGCATTTGAGGTCAGTTCATGTCGGTCATTAGCCTTGTTGCGTGTCTTGTAGTTTATGTCGTAATACTGTACAGTGATAATTGTGTTCATGTAGGGATCGGGTGTACAGTATAGTACTGTACTGTATTTACCTAATGGCCACTCAATAGAAGTGGTCATGCCAAGGGAAGGCCAGTGGCCTGTGTAGGACCCCTCCCTCCCCCTCTCCCACACAGCACTGTTCTCATTTCCACAGCTTGAGCTGGTAGATTGTTTCATAGATCTTCCATCCTTTATGTGAAGAAGTACCTTACAGTATTTACTTGTGTTTGTTCTGCTCGATAATTTGATACAGAAATGTACCGAAAAGGATGGTAAAGGTCAAATACAAGCATGTAGATACAGTACTACTGTATATAGTATCTAATAAATGCACACAATAAATTACTGTATTGTCTTTTCTAATGAATAGAACAGTACTACATGGACATTAATTAATAATAGATGCTTGCCAAAAATATTGCAACTTAAAGTGGACTGTGGGAATGAGGTGAAAAATACTCAATTTATCATGTAAATAAAAGTTAGGTTAGGTCAGGTCAGGTCCTTTTCGGTCCCTTGCAGTACAGCACATTACGACTTGAAGGGTTCCTTCACTCAAGATTGGCATCCCAAATACAGTATGGTACAGTACCTGAATACATAAACATACTTTACATTTCTTTAATAATTATGCTACTGTCTGCAACAACAAAACACGGGTTCATAGAACAAAAATATATAGAATTAAATCTGCTCTAACGGCATGTGGAGTCACCAGACTAGCCATCAGTACCCGAGGCATACAATAGGAGGAAGTGTTCTACCACCCCACTGCATGTTAATTATGGGGTGAGATCTCTGATATTGCTGCCAACTTAGAAACGGACAGTACAGTGAATCCTCCTTTAATTTGTTAGAGGGAGGTTTCACACTTAATGGACCCTTGATATAATGTTCTTTCATCTCTATATAGTTCATTAGATGGAAGTTTCACATGTAACGGTCCCTCGATATAACGGCTTTTCACCTCTATATTGCTCGTTAGATGGAGGTTTCACATGTAACGGACCTTCGATATAATGGACTTTTTCCATATAGTCCGTTAAATAGAGGTTTTACTGTAGACAGGAGAACACTTACCAAATCCAGTGACCCATTATATATATTTCACTGCTTGTCTAATAATGTACATGAAATTTATTGAACAGGAAAATTTAAGCATCTGGTTATATGCAGATTTCATGAGTTATATCAATTCAGAAACAACGTCGGAGAAGTTTCAATTTGAGAGCGAACACATATTGGTGGTTTTATATTAGAAAAGTGTAGATTGAAGAAGGAAATATGTTAGGTTAGAGTTATGGAAGAGTGGTACAAGTGAACTAACACCTTGGCTAACTGGAACACGTTGGGGAGCTTGAAATAATGGTTAAACATATATGAGTGGTAAATAACCCCTACAGACGTTATAATGATGATGACTGGTTGGGTGTAAACATGACCTCCCTCGAATAGGCCAATGATATGCCAAGCGGAGTGTCCTTTATGCTTTTGTTACTCCACCTTAGAGTAAGTTAGGTAGGCACGTGTAAGATCGCTTCTGTGGGGTTTATTCTGGTGCTCCTTTATGCCCAGTCATTGGGATTGTTCAGGGTGTAACAGACATCCATGTGGGAGTTGCATATACCAGTACTGTGGTTTTTGTCATTGGTTTGATTGGCTGGCCTTCCACATAAAGCCAAAGACATATAATTGATGGTTATTTTTACTCAGTTTACTTCTAACATGAAATTAAATCCACTGAAAGAATGATTGACAGATATGTTTACAGAATGATGGTGGAGAATTTAACCAGACTCATCTCTCTCTAGGCAACGGGTCGTGAGGACAGAATGGAGGAGGGCTACCTAGCACTACGATGGAACAACCACAACACAATTTTCACAAAGATCCTCACCCTACTGAGGGAACAGGTGTGTCTCACGTCTACAGTTTTACTCTCATTTTATTCGTAATGTAAAGATTAAATTGTTGCTTTAAAGCTGAGCAGAGTGATATATTGTCAGGCAGTGTCTTGTTTAAATTAAGAAGAAGGCTGTAAATAATGTTGATTAGTGTAAACCTTTGGCACTTGTAAATACTGATCTCTTTAATGTTCATTTCTTAACACATTGGGTATTTCTAGGCACCTCAGTACACATTCATTTTTTAAGGATCTGTTATCTAAACCAGTTGTGTCACATGTTCCCTACCTCCCTGCACAAAAAGGCTTGAAAAAATACCAAATGCAGTATACCTCTGTGACATTAAGAAAACACACCATTTTGTTACATTTCAGGCCAATTATTACACTAGTTTGTATGTAGATCTGCTTACCAGGGTTATTTCACCTTCAGGAGGCATATGTGGATGTGTCGTTGGCGTGTGCCGGAAGGTTGTATCCAGCTCATAAGTTCGTGCTCTCAACATGTAGTGATTACTTCAAGGAAATGTTCGCCAAAAACCCCTGTAAGCATCCAATTGTATTCATGAAGGATGTGTCTACTAAGGATATGGAGGCCCTTCTGGATTTCATGTACAAGGTTAGTTAATTTTATTTTTAAATGTCTGTGTGTGTGTGTGTGTGTCCTTGTTCTGGTTACCTTCATTATAACAAAAAGAGGCTTAATAATTAATTCATGGGGTTTTGATAATACACTTGACAGGTTTAATTATTTTACTTGAGAAAGGATTAAATTATTGGCCTTTAAATTGTTAAAAATATAATCCTCAACGGGTTAATCATCCTCAGAGGTTTATACCATCCTCAGATATTTAAACCATAAATTACTTCAGTAAGGGTTAACCCATTATCCTATTATGGTTAAAATTATCATCCTCAAAGAGTTTAATCCATCCCCTCAAATATTTAAGCCATCATCATTAAAGGATTAATTATACACCTTTATATTGTATACTTTAAGTAACATTATAACTACATCAGAGGTGAATTCTGAAATTGGCATCGAGTAATGTACTGTGCTGGTTCAGGACACGGCACTAGCCAGCACACAACCACTGTCACTCTGGCATCACTAATACTTCTTTGGGTTCTTGTAGTAGTCACTGTGAACTTGCTCCTGTTTCCTGAAATACAAACATAAGGAAAATCTTAAATATTTGTATACCGGTAATGTAATACAGGGAAAAACACACAAACACGAAATAATTTAGCATTTTGTTACATTCATTCCTAGAAAAATTCAGACACAACAAGAAGTCACATTTGTTTAAACTTGTTATTTATTTAGTGCATTTAGAGTAATTTTCAGCCATAGGTTTAAAGTACTTTGATATTTTAGTTATTGTGAGGGTAAATGCTTCAAAGGTATTGTCAATGTATAATACTTACTTGAGAGTACCGGTAAATGTTCCAGCGGTATTGTCAATGCTTAAGTTTTTTGTTTTGTTTCAGGGGGAAGTTCACGTGCCCCAGAGTGAGTTGGGTTCTTTGCTACGTACTGCAGAAGGTCTCCAGGTGAAGGGTTTGGCAGTGCCTGATGACTCCCCTCGTGGCTCCTCCTCCACCCCTATTGTGCCTTCCGTTCCATCCGTCCCACGCTCACATCCGCCCACTCTTTTGGCACCTTTACCTATGCGAGGAAAGCGCAAAAGACCGCCAGGTAATTTGTTGCAAAGATTTAGCCTCGCCTGTCGTTAAGTAGATATCCCAACTATCCCACCTCACAGTTAATGAATGGTGTAAATGACCCAATTATTCCACTTCACCAGTCATTAAGTAGATGTCCCTAAAAATTAACCTTGCAAGCCATTAAGTGTTGTAAATGTCCATGCTATTCCACCTCACCAATCATTAAATGTCGTACATATCCCTTATTAGTTTGGTGTGAAGTAACGAAACAGCCACAGTACAGCGAATGTTTACTGTACTGATTGAAGTAATAATTCTATCATTGACGTAATTAAAATCATGTGATACTTCTTTATTGAACACTGTCACTCCTGCTGTCTTGGTAGGGGGTGTCAGAATCCTTCATCCATTGAGTCATATTGTCTCAAACAAAACCATAAAGATACATTTTGGAGCGAGTGTACAGTACCACCTTGGTTGTGTAAATAAATAATGAGCGAGCCAGATATTTGGTTTCATACGAGGAATATCAGACTGTAGATGAAATAACGAGATGGTGTTTACTCTCCCCTCAGAATCAAATAGAAAAGATGACCCTCCAAAGCTGACACTGCGACCTGATCTTGGACCCCCAACCCCTAACCGCACCCGCCAACGTAACCGGCCGACAGGCATGCCAGAACTGAAGAGAATAAAGAAGGAAGATCACAAGGTTGTAGGTGTTAGGGCCATGGAGCCAGGTGAAGTACCCAGGTCTCCAAGTCCAGCAGCCAGCAGTCACAACAGTGATGACCCACCAATAAACCACACAGACAAGATAAAGGTGGGTACCATTATTTTAGCCTTTAAACAACAGACATCAGCGCCACAAGTTAGCCGTAGGGGCGGTAATCATCATCAGGGGAAGTTTCATTTTCCGTGAGTTACATATTTGCACATATCTGGGGAGAAGGGAATTCTTAACTGCCAGATAAGATTTAAATTTACCAGCATGTTTCATATAGGAGAAAGTGGGTCCTCCTGGCCTTGTGATCTGCTAGGAACTTGGTGGAGCCCACTTTTATAGTCGAGTTAGAGAGCCGTGTTATAATACTAGGTAGTGTTACAAGCAGACACGAGCGACAGAAATAGTACTGTAGTCCAGAAAATCATTATGTTAGAAGCCATAATAACAAGGGGCTCAGTTTTTTGTCACAGCATACCAGCTTAGAGTGTTGTTGGTGTGATGCTGCCACAGTACAGTAGTCCAGGTTGTCTAAATGATATATTTTTTTTATAATTTGTATGTTACACTGAAAATAGAGTATAAAGATGAAAGAAGATTATGATGAAATTCAATTTATAAATGTGACGATGTTGAGTTAGACATTATGTTAAATGTTACTGTTTGATTCAATGATTAGCAGTTTAATTTTCCTTAACAGGTTTGGTGTATCTATGCCTGTTTAGACAGTGAAATAAGTTATTAATTATAATCTTTTCATTCTACATCTTACCGTACAAAGTCTTGGTTATTTTCATGATCACTACAGACCGAACGTCCAGATTATGTGAAAGGTGATGAAGACGCAGACCCGGAGGAAGATGAAGGGGTCGCTGGTGAAGGTATGTCGGGGGATGAAGAACAAGATGATGATGAGGATGAAGAAGAGGAAGATGATGAGGAAGAGGAAGATGAGGAGGAAGGAGGTTTAGGCGAGGGAGAAGGTCTTTCTCACGGTGTTCTCTCTGATGTTGATGCCTTCGAACAATCCAACTCATCCTTACCAAACTCTGACATATCAACGGTATGTCAGTCAGTAGACGAGAATCTTTATAAAAACGTACAGTAATTCCTCCCATTTAAGAACAGTTTTGATGAAATTTAACACAAATGGTCAAAATCTTCAGTGAGATTCCATTTATTGTCATTGACCATTGTATGACTTCTCTGTTGACCGAAACATTAAAAATACTGTATCGTGTTTTTATGTTTGATGGTCTTTTATTTTATTTCAATTTGATTGGTCAGAGTTCTAGAGCATAGGTGTTCATTTGTTTTGTGGCCTCTTAGTGATCTTGTTGGTATGTTGGTCAGGTACTACAATACAGTTACTTAGAATCAACCTGAAGAATAGCCCTCTCAGCTTATTTCTGGTTTCTTTATTCAACTTCCTTTCATTGTCATAATAATTGTTTCAGTATATTTATCTTACTTAAATATAGTTATTTCTTAAGGGTTATAAATTAAGTTTCTAAATGAGGCCCAAAAACATAGTGACAGGTGTTTATTGATTCATTCTAGACCGAGCTATTACAAGTTGATTTAAGTGAAGATGGAACGCAGTTTATCATTGGTCCTGGTGGCTATGGGGAGATGATGTCAAGAACATCTTCCTTGGCTGGAGATGAAGAGAGAAATGGTGATAGAGAGCAAAAGAAGCCATTTGTTTGTCCTCTCTGTGGCCAGTCCTTCACACGCCGAGATAACCTTGCCAACCATATCAAGGTAAGACATCTACAATAACATCTTCTTTGGTTATATCCAAGTACAGTATTACATGCCTCCGTTAACCCTTAAAATGGATCACTTGCATTTTAAGACCAAGTGAGATAATTATGTGCTCTTTTAGTATGTACAGTAGAATCACTTCCACTTTATTGTCAATTGGCTGACATTGGGGCAGCTGGTAAATCTCTTCTAAATTCTTATATATATATATATATATATATATATATATATATATATATATATATATATATATATATATATATATATATATATATATATATATATATATATATATATATATATATATATATATATATATATATATATATATATATATATATATATATATATATATATATATATATGTGTGTGTGTGTGTGTGTGTGTAGTGCGTGCGTGCGTGCGTGCATGTTTATTAATGTGATTTCATTTGATTTGACTTTATTTATTTATTTATTTATTTATTTATTTTTTTTTTTTTTACAGACCCACACCGGTGACCGTCCGTTTATGTGCCAGTATTGCCACAAGTGCTTCTCAAGGAAAGACTACCTGAAGCAGCACGAACGTATTCACACAGGGGAGAAGCCTTATGCCTGTGACATCTGTGGTCGTGCATTTACCCGTAAAGAGGGTTTAACTGACCACATGCGGTGCCATTCAGACTTCAAAGCCTTCTCTTGTGAGACCTGTGGTAAGAGCTTCAAGCAAAAATGTGGTCTGCGTTTCCATAAAAGGAATTATAAGCACTAGCCACCTGAGAGGTCTGAACACCTACAGAACTCTCTCAACAAATGTATGCTTATTAGAGGCATTTCACTCATACACAACATGCTGCTTCCTCAAAATCATTTAGTGTGTTAGTGAATTTCTTTAAATTTTATTACCAGCTAAGACAAATTTGATGAGTGAATACGGTTGATGTAATAGTTTTGTACGTGATCACAGTCCAGTGTATGTTTTTGGATATATTGATGGTTTGTGTCATGTCTTGCAGTACTTGTTCAATTAGTTTTATATTATGTTAATTTATTTTTTTTTTTATTGATTTGGACTTAAGCATTTCTATAATATTACCTCATGAAAGTCATTATTTTTCTTAATTGAATGATTGATCCAAGTGTTGGGGTAAACATTCTGAGGCCAACATACTGTGTGTGTGTGTGTGTATATATATATATATATATATATATATATATATATATATATATATATATATATATATATATATATATATATATATATATATATATATATATATATATATATATATATATATATATATTTGGTATATACACACACGCACAGTATATATATGGATGGATTATTGGTTTGGTCGGCCATCCATTGTCCGTCCATCCATCCAACACCCATCATCTGTCTGTCTGTGTGTGAATGTATCATATTTTTCACTCATTAAGAACTACACTACTGGTTCAGATCTGGTGAAACGAGGAATTTTCTTAGGATGGCAACTTTTCAAATTGAAATTGTTTTTGATGTCGGCTTTTGTCGTCCCAGACAGACGTTAAGGCCTCGAGGGCCCCCGTGTCAGTCCGTCTGAGTGACTCACAATGGTTTACTGTCCGTCCGTCCGTCCAGCCGCAGTCTGTCTGTTAGATTTTTCACGTCTCCAACTTCTTAAAAACAGTTGACTCAGTGTTGCTGAAGCATTGTTGAAAAGTCATTGGATGGTTCCCTCCCTAAATTGTCTGACATCATCATCTGTCACCTCAGGTGGATTTTAGAGCCTCGTGTGTTGTGTATTTCCCTGCCCTCGTCTTCCTGGTTAAATTCCTCTTTGTGGTATTTCAGAAGATTTCTTTTAGGATCTCAAATCCTCTTGTGGTAAAAATTCCTGTACTTTATTTTAAATATCTATTATTTTAATAGATTTTCGTTTGGTCCTTTATTTGGTTTTTCATTTGAATTTCTCATTTCTCATTTGTACGTCAGCGCTTCAATGTATTGGCCGATATTCACCTGAGTGACGGAATAAGTAAACTTTCATTGTTGTGAAATCCTTTGATCTATAATCAAAAGTTTTAGTCTACATGTTCACGTACCTGTGGTTAGGATGTTTCACATTCAATTATTATTCACTGACATATCATAATAGGACATCTTGAATATAATTTATGTTGTATTTGTCCAGTTTGGATGCCAGTATCCCCATAACCGGAATCTGATGAGGGTGTCTATGTTTAAGAATTATTTATGCACTATATCTGATCTCAAATGCATGCAGCAAGTGTGAAATTACTTGTTTTGAACTGTTAAAGCACAAGTCAGTAATGTAAGTCTGTTCACTGTGTCAGGAGTTGAGTCTCACACTATGCTAAGTCACAGTTTTGGAGCTGTGTGTTGAATTAGTTTGTATTTACATAAGTACATTCTCATTTCTTTGGTTTTCATGGACCACTTTCATGTACAGCATAAGTAGCACAAAAGAGACTGTTCACGTTCAGTCTTTTACCAGTTTATTTTGTTGCAATGGAAATAGCTCAAGATTTGTTGAAAGAACTTGTCAGTGTTGATGTTACTCTGATGGTTATGCACATATGTCACAAGACACTCTTGTAATGTTAAAAATATTAGTTAGGAAGAAGAAAGTGTTTATACAGCAGCCATTGCTACTCAGTCTATAGACAAGGATAACAGGTCAGGGTTTCTGGAGGGTTTTGAGACATACAATGCAAGGTATAGTTTTATGGCAGGCTGAATGTTTTACAAAAGGCTGAGTGTGAACTGCACACACACACACACATACATATGCACACACTTTTTTATGTGAATGTGTGTCTTTACATAGTTTGGAGTACTGTATCATTTTTTTCTTTTTTTAATCCCATATTGCAAACCTTGGTGCCCCACAGAGTCAAACTTTTCAAAGACACATTATTGTACGAGTACTTCAACATTTATGTCCAAAGGAATCCTGATAATGATATAGAAAGGTTACTGAACAACTTTCATAAAGGAATTGAATATATTGTTGCCCTTGGGTGGAATATACTGTTCATGGAGAATAGGACTGGATATTGAAGGCCATGGTCGAGGAGGATTTAATGAGGTGCATAGTAACAGTTATATAAGAACTTAAATGGGATAAAGAAATAGATTTTAAATGTAACTCTGGAAAGGGTGTTCAGTTCTTTACCTTTTTTCCTCGGAATTTCTTAGGATAGATGTAGACTCAACTACTGGGTTCGGTTCCTTGATTAACCATCCTCAATTTTCCTTTTCTCAATGTGGTCTTATTGCAAATTTCAGTTTAGGCAGGTTATTAAATTGTTACTATTTATCCCCCAAGTTCTTTGTCACCTGCCATTCATCATCCACTGTTACTGTTTTAATAGATATGATTTACTGCAGTCTTTGTCCTGCAATGGTTTATCCTCATTGGTTCGCACCACCGAGTATCACCCATTAGCTGTTCAGTACGTCGTCTGTCTACAAAAACTGCTTGACTCCATACTGTTCAGTCACACACACACTGTTGAGTCCTGGATGTCCATCTCCCTCACACATAGTGGCTTTCATTCCTTCCTTTAGCTCATTTACCTATTCCCCATCCATCCTATCATCCACCTCTGAAATACTGTATACTGTACATGTTTTCCAAATTCTTCACTCTCTCATTCTTTCAAATTCTATACCAGCTAAGTACACCTTTGTCACATTACTATCCAACTCTTCTTTCACTTCTGCTTTTTTCTTATTTCTATGTGTATTCTGTATTTAACTCATATATTTTTGTAAAGTACATCATCTCTGTTGCTCCTAATACACTTCTTCTTCCTGTTGCAGCCAGACTGTGCTTCACACCACCCATATAATGCTGGGTCGGGGATTCCCCTTTACATGCCCAGTTCTGCATCTTTTTTTTTTTTACAATTCCCTCTCAATACAGAACATTTTGTCAGTACTCACCTCAGATGCCCTAAAAGGTTATACAGTAATATCAAAATTCATGAAGTTTCTTAGGGATTTTTCTGAAGCTTTTTTAATTATTGATCTTATGTGTAAAATCTCGCAACAGAATAGGATGCGGTATCAACGGTTCACAGTAGCTATTATAGGGAGGTGTTTGGTAAATACTGCGCAGTGTAGAGATGAATTAGGTGTAAGGAAGAAAGGACATGGAGTGTTAGTACTAGAAGATGCGTGTTTTACCCTCACCTTAACTCATCACTTCCATAAAACATATAATTGTTTGTCTTTTTGAAATTAACCCTTCAAAGGTTTCAGAACCAGACCTCATAAGATCTCTGCAGTAAGTAAAAGCCCTACAGGTTGCATTATTGTCTTTTTTATCTTTATTATCATTAGTCAAATGTCACAGAAGTCATATATGATCAGTATTTATCACTTAAGTTTTCAGGCTAGCTAATGTAAGTTGCCATCTTGCTAAATGTTAATGCAGCCATATCCTTTTAGTTCTAGTGAAGAAAGGATTAACTTTTTTATTACTGTATACACATTATAGTGTTGTGAAAGAGGGAGCATACATCTACTAGTGTACTGGTAGCCAACAAGTAAGTGTGAAGCATTTGTAGGGATGGAGCTTTGCTTTGTATTTACACTGAATGATGGGAGAATGGAATCGTAAACTTTTGGTACAGTCCAGTATTTAGCTCGTCCTTTTAGTCAAGATAAGAAATGGGGCTAAAATAACGTAGGTGAAATTTAGCATCATACTTGCTGTATGGAAGTAGAATTCTGGTAAGAGATAGAAGGGTCTAGGACAACTGGCCGCCGCCATCTCGCCGCAGCCCAACTGGCCGCGGCCGACTGGCCGCCATATGGAACTTTTTGTTGACAACCTAACCTAACCTAACCTAAATAGGCGTTTGCAGTTTACCCCCAGTCCGCGGCGAGTTTCCCGCGGCCAGTTGGGCTGCGGCCAGATGGCGGCGGCCAGTTGTCCCATTCCCGAGATAGAATGACGCATTAGGTAATTTCTGCAATCATTTCTAATCAGCCTCCCCCCTCCCCTACCCCCCCAGCTGTTGTTTACATAGAATTATTAGCTGTAAATATGAATTGTATTGAAAAGGTTGTGGTTGTTGACATACAGCTAGACAATGAAGCAGTTTGGTTGTAATAGAAGTACAGTTGTTAAAGGATGAAGCAGTATGGGGGTAGATAATTGAGTTATAGCTGGAGAACAACATGTAGGAAAGAGCAGTGTGTGTTTGTTAGTTACCCCAACAAAATAGTAATCAAAATGCTGGGAAAGACAAAAGTCAGGAACAGAAGAGAAGGTGTTTTAGTTTATCACTGTATTGCAGATGAGTCTTTAAGTGCATATGATTGCTTTTGTCTTTCATTATTTTTTTTACCACCTTTGTGTATGTGCCATTTAACAATTAGTTGTGGGAAGCAGATACTGAAGAGCAGCCAACAACACTGTTATAACACTGACCCAGATGCATGTTGTGTTGTGTTCTCTCTCACTGAGGTGTTAGGAGTCTTTGGGTCAAGCATGTATGAATTAATTTATTATATTGAGGGTTTTTTTTGTGTCCATTGTCTGTATTTAAAACTGTCTGTAATAATTATTTAAGTTTACAATCTGTAAGATGTGAAGGAGAAAGTGTTCAGCTTATAGGGATGTAGCTGAAGTATGCAAAAGTTTTTTTTTTTTTTAATTTTTATTATTATTTAAGAAGATATGTTTAACAGTAAAAGTTATGTGGTTTTGAAAGAATGATTAAGTTAAAGAAATCCTGAACTTTTCCTTTGTAAGCATTATTTGTAGTGAGCTCATGCCTTCCAAATTTTGTATCCATTTTGAAAGTTATCTTCTAGTGATGCTTGATTGGTGCTTGTCACTGTTTGTAAGCAATATGTATTCTGACTACTATTGTGTCAGTCAGTATTACTTTTACTAAACATAATGATAGATCCTGTAGCATAATTGAGGTACAGAGCATCAAAAGCATTCTGTGCATTACTTTTTTATGCTGGTAATTGTGCCATTGAAGTGTAAGGTTAATTAACTATTCTTGGTCTCGCCCTAAACTGAACTGGTGCCAATACCTCAGTCATGTGTCCTCCAGTGAGACTTCTAACATGTTTTACTCCACAAACAGTTTACACCCACCTTGCATGTTAATCACAAGCAGTGCCTACCAGTAAGCCAATGTGTTGAGCCTTAAATAACAAATACAATATATAATAGATTTTCTCTTTTTACTTGGAAAATCATGAAGGGCTCACTTTGAAATAAAAAATTTTGTTACCAATGTATATGACAAAACTTTGTATCAGTGCAGATCTATATCACCGACAGTTTTATTAATGTGATATTTTGTATATTTTCTCAAATTTCTTCATTCACGAGGCGAGTGATTCATACACAAACACATTTCATGAAGTTTGTGCTGCAGATAATAGCTCAACTTGTATCCCACCCACCCAAAACCTTCATCACCAGACACTTTATCGGTGTTTTGTCTGTCCACCTGTCATAAACTCCTTCCCATCCCAAAACATAACTATCTATGCCCTGCTGCCTTGATACGTTGACTGAGGATGCACTGTTTCACATCCAGCCACTGTCTATCCCATAACTAGTCTCACAACAGTTCTTGAACAAATGGCTTCATATTTTTGTATATAGTAGAGTTAATCAAGTTGCCATGTTTAACTGGGTTTTACAGTCACTTGTCTTAGTCCTAGATTTAAGATTTCATGTGATAGGTTTAATTTAATAATACCTATTTTGACAAATAAATTGAAATTTTATATGGCAGTGTTCTTCCTGAAAAATACCTATAATGTTTTTATTATACAAATTGCAGTATACAGTATACTGTACACTATGAACATACAAAGGAAATGCAGTATTCCTAATCTTATACCTAATATTACAGGTCTACCCAGTCCTTAATTTGTAAAATAGGAAGTGGTGAAAATCCAGTGAACTAGAGACAGATGCTGACCGAGCCTGCTTAACTGGCAAAGCACATAGTACTGTATTGCCAAGGCCTATATAGGCACATGGTGAAGAATTTATACCTTGGGATGTGTTCCAAAGAAAAGCGAGGAATTTTTTCCCTTGAAAGCTCACCAGATCAGTTGACAATGGGGGTCATTATAACATACTGTACTGTATAGTACTTGATTTGGAGATACTGTGCATTCCTAACTACATTATTAACACCTTTGAGTGATGCATGATGGCGGCGAGTAATTAGCATTATAAAAGTAATTACTGTATTGTTAGAAAAGCAATTAAAATTTCTGAGATGTCATTTGGACAAGTACCGTAATTATACAGATATCAAACTGCAGACAACAGATCCTTAATCAGCATTCAGGAGTACATACAGTACAGTATTTTCTCGATTTAAAGAACTAATTCGTGCCACCCCTGTTCGTTAAATGAAAATTTCCACGAAATCAACCTTTCCGTTTTGTTCGCACAATTTACCGAACTATTCCACTAAGTTGAGAGTGATTCTGTTAAATTCTGTGGGGGTGTTTACATCTGCTCAGTGTTTGTCATGCCGCCACCCTGGTCGGTCGGTGAGGAGAGAGTGTAGGGTACAGTACAAGGTAAAGTTCAGAAGTGGGAAATAGAGGAGGTTAACAGCAGGTGGGCTATCCACCTTGCGGCCTGTGTTGTTCACAGCTCTTATAAACTCCTCCCTCCCTGCCATATTTCACTGGATTTAGTGTTATTGTTAATATTGACTGATATAATAGTGCTTAACCCATAAATGGTCACTCATAATTTATTATACATACATAGTAACCCCCACCTCCCCTGGTCAGGGAAAATAATTTTTTTTGTGACCCAAACACCCCAAAATGACCTTAGAAAAGAAATACGAGTAAACGTGGCAACTTGCCTCGTTTTAAAGTGCTGTGCCGCATTTAAATCCTGGGCTGGTGCAGTATGCCAAGCCTCGGATAGATTTGTCCAACAACTTTTCGTATTTGAAACCCTAGATAATTTAGGACCCAATTCAGTTTACATCCTTATTACGACCAAAATATAATAAAATTAAATAAAATTACATTTTCATATAAACAACTAAATTCCTATTTGTATTATAAAAAAACAAAAATTACTGTAAAAAATGAAGAGCACCTTGCGCAAAGAAGTTGCCTGGCTAATGAGTGAAGAACACTGAGGTTGGCGGACGTGTTATCACGCATCTGGAACAGGAACAGGAGAAAAACTTTCTCAGGTATCTTACAGCATTTTTGCATTTATATTCAACATGAGCAAGTGATGGTAGTGTTGTTTCAAAAGCTAATAGACAGTGTATAAGCTTAGCCGAGAAACTAGATGTGTTAAAACGATATGAAAAAGGTGAATGTACAATGAGAAAAGAAAGTTGTGCAAGTTTCTTTCGAGAGCTTTATTATTCGAAGGCCTAAACCATCAACTTCAGCTACACCATCAAATTCAGCATCATAAACAGCTTCAACATCAACTTCAGGTTCAGTAACAGTTTCAGCAACAGCTTTATAGAAAGCTACAGTTTCAGCCAGTGTTGAACCTGATGACTTGGTCATCTGAGTAAAAACTCACACAATATTCATTGGCTGTCCTTATGTTTTAGACTTTACCACCATTGGTGAATAGAATTTTAGTTTTACATTCGTAAATATTATTTAAAACATATATGAACAGTAAATAAGTGTTGCTTTCATATTCATATGTTGAGAAATGGCGATAGGTTTTCACATGTACTCACTTACTGTTCATACGTTGGCGCTCCCAATCATCTCGCCTTATTTCTTTACCATTAGTGGTTAGCTACTCCTAGTGTTCCATTTATTAACATTAAATGGCATTACTTAAAACTTAAAAACATACATACAGGTATTCATTTTTTTTAAATTGAGTTCCCTACAGCTACAACCAGGGTCTTATTTTCTTCAGCTTCTTAGGTACAACCATCGTCACTCACGAAAACAATGCCGTCTTGTCTCCTCGTGTGTGTTTTAATATTCTACGTTTTATTAATGAATTGCATTGTTCATTTCACCTATATAAAGATTAATTCAATCAAATACATATTCAGTAATAAACAATAATGAATCTTTTGTACATATTCTTAAGAAGATAAATGACGCGGTATCCTTAAATGAGCACATATATGTTGGCGTTCCCAATCCATCTTTTTTTTGTCGCCATTAGTGGTTAGCTACTTCTATTGAAACATTTATTAACATTAAATAACGTTACTTAAAACATATATATATTATTTTTTTTACATCAAATTTACCACAGCTACACCCAGGGTCTTATTTTCTTCATTTTCTCGTGTAAATTATCGTCCCGGACTCCCGGCTGTAAACACAAACGAAAACAATGGCGTCCCATCTCCTCTTGTGTGACCATATTATTATTCATTTATATTGTATACGGTGCATTCAAAAACATGATTTAAAGAATACCGTTTGCACTTTTCATTAATTGTATTGTTTTTGGGGGAAAAGAGGGTAAAAAGTCACACAAAAGATATGAAAAGGTCACACTTGGGAATGCATCTCATTATTATTGCTTTATTTTAATGGTAATTAATGATTCGCGATAAGACGATTCGCCTTGCACTGCAATATTGGAGGACACATTAACGTCGTTATTCGAGGCTTTACTGTACTTCTGGTCAGTCTTGCAGCCACGTATATGCAATGATTTTTTATTAATTAAAAAAAATATGAATGTAGCAGCATAGCAAATGTTGCACACTCAAGGTCAGTGGAGGTATTTTCCTTACATTTTTACTAATATTATTCACTTATTGTACTCAGTGTTCCCACAGTCCCACTCAGGGGTGGCAGCACCCCCAGGGGTGGTGGCGCCAACATGGGCCCACTCAAGGGCGGCGGCGCCCCTAGAGACCCTCCCAGAGGCGGTAGCGACCCCAGGGACGCTCCCAAGGGTGGTGGGTACTCCAAGGTCCCTCCCAGGGTCGGTGACGCTCCCAGGGATGGCAGTGCCTTGAGGGACCCTCCCAGTAGCGCCGGCGCCCCCATGGGCCTTCTTAGCGGCGGCAACGCACCCAAGGGTGGTGGCTCCTCTAGGGACTCTCCCAGTAGCGGTGGCGCCCCCAGGGGCCCAGTCAGGGGCGGCAACGCACCCAGGGGCCCTTCCAGGAGTGGTGGCATTCCCAGGGTCCCAATCAAGGGCGGCAGAGCCCCCAGGAGCCCTCCCTGGGGTGGTGGCGCCACCAGGGCCCACTCGGGGACGGCGGCGTCCCCAGGGACTCCCAGGGACAGCAGCACCCCCTGGGACCTTCCCAGAGACCCTCACAGGGGCGGCGCCCCCCAGGAAACCTACCAAGGGTTCCCAGAGGCCCTAAGGCATGCTTGTTCATTGTGTTATATATATATTACATACTTTCAGCAGTCCCTTACTGTACTATGATTAGTGGACTATTCTTTTAACCCACCAAATTACAGCCAATAGGAGAAGAGAGCAGTCAGTCAACACAACACCACAACTTATGTTTTTCTGTTGGATATTACAGTATTTTCCGTTACCTTCTTCAGAATGCGATGATACTGCAAATGTGATGGGCAGTGTATTTATTTAACGTTGCCACTCCCAAAGTTCTGAATCGCGCAAAAACTACTGCTCCCAGGGGCCCTACAGGTCTGGCGCTCCCACGGGTCCTCCCAGGAACGGCAGCACCCCCAAGGACCCCTAGGGAACCCTGCAAGATGCGGCGCCTCCAGGGACCCTCCCAGTCTTCCAAGGGTGGTGGCGTTCACAAGGTCCTGCTCAGGGGCAGCAGTGACCCCAGTAGCTCTCTCAGGGGCGGTGATGGCCCCAGAAGCCCTATCAGAGTTGATGGCCCTCTCAGGGTCCCTCCCATGAGCGGCGGCGTCACTAGGGACCCTTCCAGAGGTGGTGGCGCCCCCATGGACACTCCCAGGGACAGCAGCGCCCCCAGCGATCATCCCAGGGGTGATGGCATTCCCAGAGTCCACTCAAGAGGTGGCGGCGCCCCCAAGGACCCTACCAGGGAAGGTGGTGCCCCACGGGGCCTTATGGCATGCTCATTCGTTATAACATATATATTACCTATTTCCAGCAGTCCCTTACTGGACTATGATTGGTGGACTATTCTTTTAACCAACCAAATTACAGCCAATAGGAGAAGAGAGCAGTCAGTCAACACAACACCACAACTTATGTTTTCCTGTTGGATATTATTTTCCGTTACCTTCTTCAGAATCCGATGATACTGGAAATGTGATGGGCGGTGTATTTATTTCACGTTGCATCTCCCAAAGTTCTAAATAGCGCAAAAACTGCTGCACCCCAGGGATCCTCTCAGAGGCGGCGCTCCTCCCAGTGACTTACCCAGGGGCGGCGACGCCCACAGAGACCATCCCAGGAGTAGTAGTGTTCCCAGGGTCACACTAAGTGGCAGCAGCACCCACAGGGGTGGTAGCACCACCAGGGCCCCACTCAGAGGTGGCTGCACCCCCAAGGACCCTCAGAGAGGTGGTGACGCCCCCAGAGTCACTCCCAGGGACAGCGGTGCTCCCAGAGACTCGCAAAGACCCTCCCAAGGGCGGCGGCGCCCCCAGGAACCCTACCAGAAGCGGTGGCCCCCCCAGGGACCCTCCCAGGGTTGGCAGATCCCCCAGGGAACCTTCCAGGGCGGTGGCGCCCCAGGGACGGCGGCGCCCCTAGGGACTTTCCCAGAAACGGCAACGTCCCCAGTTACCCTCCCAGGGGCTCTCAAGGAGGCCCTCCAACGGGTGGTGGCCATCCCAGGGCCTTCCCAGGGATGGTGGCATTCCCAGGGTCCCACTCAAGGGCGGCAGCGCCCTCAAAGGTCCTTCTAGGGGTGGTGGCGCCACCATGGGCCCACCCAGGGGTGACGGCACCCCTATGATCCCTCCCAGAGGTGGTGGCACCCCAAGGGACACTACCGGTGGTAGCGGTGTCCCTAGGGACCTTCCAAAGGGCGGCGGCACCTTCGGGGATGGCGAGGCCCCCAGGGACGGCGACGCCCACAAGGACACTCCTAGCGACAGTGGCGCCCCCAGAGACCTTCCCAGAAACTCGCAGAGGAGCCGGCTCCCACAGGGACCCTATGAGGGGCGGCGCTGATTCCAGGAGTGGCGAAGCCCCCAGGGACCATCCCAAGAGTGGTGGCGTTCCCAGGAGTCCACTCAGGAGCGGCAGATACCCAGGGACCCTCCCAGAGGCAGCGGCGCCCCCATGGACACTCCCAGGAACAGCTGCACCCCCAGGGACACTCTCAGGAACCCTCAAAGGGGTGGCGGTGCCCCCAGTGACCTTCCCAGGCAACGTGGCACTTTCAGGGACCCTCCCAGCAGCGGCGGGGCACCCAGGCGCCCACTCAGGAGCGGCAATGCCCCCAGGGTGAATTTCAAAAGTAGTGGTGCCCCCAGGTTATGAGCATTCAAGCACTTGTTCTGGTTCTTCAGGTTGATTAATGTTTTTGTGCTAAATGTTTGCTTTTTGTGTGTTGTTAGTTTTGTGAGGTTAATGTTTGATCTGTTAGTAGGCTGGTCAATATTTGAAGATTAAAAAATTTCCCGCATTTAACCTTACAATGTCTTCTACTGTACAGTACTCCTCAAATAACTGTACAATACATTATTTGTTTGTGCAGTCTCGTTCAAGATTCTTCGAACACTGCTGGGGACAGCTGGCAACTCAAGGCCGTTTGTTTACTATAGTGCGTAATATAATACGAAACAACTAAGCCCAACCAGTAAATTAAGCAACGGGGAACTAAGTAACCAATCACCGATCACGTTTACATTTATTCATATATTTTACGACCTACTATAGTAAACAAACGGCCTCGATTTGCCAGCTGTCTCCAGCAGTGTTCAAAGAACCTTGAACAACTGTACCTGTACCAATGTTGTGGCTCATCATATTCAACTATGCATGAGAAAGAATGTCGTGGTAATGTAGCTACTTCATTAAACATTAGAATTTACTGGAATTAATTATAGTGTTCTGCACTGTATATTATTTGTCAAATTCAGCAATGGAAACAATCATGAAGATAAAAATTACAAGGTCTGTGTGAATAGAGAAGTAAAATAGAATGGGTGACAAAGAATAGGGTACAGTACTATGGGATTAACAGAGAGTACTACAGAACAAAAGGTGATGAGAATGCACTTAAGTTATAAAAGTAACTAGTGTACTGAACGGACCAGGGTAACTGTTTTGTAGAATTTACTACCGAGTGTATTTGAGGAAGAGAAAAGTGGTTTCCAGCAATGAAGGTGCTTAGCAAATGAGATGTTTTAGACCAGAATTAGACAAGTCACAAAGGTTATAAAAAAGAAGAAAAAGTTTATGAACTTAGAGGTTTAGAAAAAAGCTCTTTGTTGCTTGCTCTTTTTGGCAGTGAACAGTGGGGATGTGTGATTTATTTATCATTTCACCACTTATCAGTTTCATAGCGGTTCGGGCAGTTGGTCTATCCAGAGTTAGAACAGTAGGAAACCGGAGTGCCCGGAGGAAAACTGTGATGTTTGGTAGGGTCACACCCTTCTCATGTGTGTCCAGGCCAAGGAGGACTCAAACCCTGGACATATTGGGGAGGAATCCACATGCATTACCACTGTACCACCAACATCCAAAATATAGGGCGGGTTAAGTGTATACTGCAGCTACACCCCAGGAAATAAGGTTTTTTTTTCTTTTCTAACACCAGAATAGTTACTCTGAAATTTTCATTGTGAGTAGTAAGTACAGTATACTAATTCATAGGTGATAAAAATGAGATGGTGGGTGACATGGTAGTGCCCGGAATGAATGGAAATTAGGAAGTGACTGATAAAAATATAAGTTTGGAGAGGATTGATAATAGGGAATTTTTTTTTTAAAGAATGCACAAGAACAAAGGTGATGTGCTGAAAATAATCAATAAGAGCTAGCTTAAATGGAGCAGAATAAGATAATAAAAAAATCTAGCGAGGTAAAGTCAGGAATAAAAATCCATCTCTTAGTCGTGTTTCCTTCACGACCATCTGTCAACTATGTACAGTGTTCATATTTAAACATAGGCAGTTGAAGAGAATGACATAATAAGACTTAAACACTAAAAAACAGGGGGCTCTGTTCAGAGCTAAGAGGGCAGCTGGGTGTTGAGAGTATTGGCAAAGTGAAGCCAGGTCGAGATACTTGGTCATGTGGAGAGAATGGATGAGGCCAATTGGATCAAGAGGTGTAGGAACCTAAATGTGGAGAGCCAGGGGTAGACAAAGAATGACAGGGAAGAGGTAAGAAATTAAATTCGAGTAAGGAACCTGCAAGACCCCGTTCACCATGGAGAGCTGCTCTCGGGTAACTACGATTAACCTACACAAGTGTGGAAATTGGGTCATAAAACAATGATGATGAAAGTCCAGAGAACACATTATCGAGTGATTTTGATATGTACAGGTAATTCTAATTGCAATGTTGTAATATTTACAAATTCCTTACCTTTCTTGCTGAAGGAATACAAAAACAGTTCAGTAAAGTGCTTAAAATACAACAATATGCATTATAAAGAACCTCCGTCAAATATGAAGGTAATCCAAAATCCTGAGGGATTCCAAGTTTAACATGTGATTGAGTACACATCTTTTTGCCTGCTCTTCTGTTTTGTGTGGGACATCTTGGTCATCCACATACTGTACTGTAGTTAATATTTTGGCCCACGAGTCTTTTGTAAACATCAGATTTTGCTCCACTTTGAATCCTCAAGTGTGTTAAATGCTGAGGCTGTACTATTTTTTCCCCTACAAAAGATTTCTACAGGATTCCCCCTTCTCTACACTTGACACATTTCAGTGTAAGTGTATTTGTCAGCATTAACTACCTTGCTAATCCATACTAACAGTTCAGGTATACTGTTCTGCAGCAACCCTCCTTATTCTCACATACCAAGTGTGAAACAGGGTACCTGGTATATCAAGCATGGTGTTGTAGTAACTCCCACCTACCTTTTCCCATATCAAGACTCTTGATCCATTCCAGGACTCCTACAGTTCTTATCCATTTCATTAGTGTCTAGCTGTTCTTCAGCCCTCTAATTTCTGTGGGTCTTTTTCTTGTGCATTTAAACAGGAAGACGGTATAACACTGTAACTGAAATAAATCACAGTTGAAATTTTTGCCAGTGTTCTGCAGCTATGTTTACACTACAGTACTGTTTGATGGTCTTCCACACTTTTTGTAACTCATTACCCCTCACTATGGGGAATGCCACTTTTAATATTTTTGTCAATTTTATTCAGCTCAAAAGGCAACCCAGTACACAAGGGGTTAACTCGTACTTTCTGTGAATATTAATTTATCTTCCTTTGTGGCTGCAATTTTTCCCAGTTCCCTTTCTTGTTTGGCTTGTACAGTCAATCAAAAAAAATATCATTGCAAAATTGAGTTAGACAATATGACAAAGGACGAAGGATCAAGGCAACAGGAGTAGCAGTGTTCATTCTGAGACACCCCTTCCCCAAGTACCCAGTTTTTTGATCAACTGTACATGTGTGCTGAGAGCCTTTATTATTTCCAAATACAGTAATTCTTATTTTTCAAGTATAAGCATGTGGTTTGTACTTCTTAAGTATTGCCAAATCAACATGAAGACTTCTTCTCTTAGGTGCTTTAAGTGATGCCATATATTCAGCATTTTATGGATAGTATATATAGTCAATAGCATGAATATTAAGTAAACTTTAGTAAATGACCATACCCCCATGTCTCAGGAAGAAGACATTAACAACACAGAGAAAAAAAACATTACTGTTGTACTGTAATGAGTTTATAAAGTTCATGACATCTGCATGGAATAGTTCAATGATACTATAGTGATTTACATCATCATTACCCAATATGTATTTTGTTTACATTTTTATACTGACTACTGCACTGTAATGAACATGACATGGCTGAATTTGAAAAAAGATATTTAACCTTGATATTTGACATTTATTTAGGCCTGCAAGTTATACCTTTCTAATAGTACCATAGATGAGGAACAACAATAGCTGAGCACATGACAATAATACATGTCAAGAATGTTGTAATTTTTACCATTGTTAACAAAAGGTCTTCATTAAATTGAAGGAATATATTTCTAGATGTAAGTTATCCAAACACCATGAAATATTCCGAGTCAAGTTTTTATTGACCAAGTTTGCTCTCAGATCCACCACACATGAATCCTCGCCTCTTCCTTCACACAAAATATGGCCATTATTTACAAACAACACAATTTAAACTGCACAGAACATTTCAAGACCTTTGGTTTGATTATTAATAGGAATTCATACCTTCAGTTTCATATAAATTTTCCTTGACAACAGTAAAACTTAACAGTTCATGGCACGTACCCATAAATCATCCTGCGTGGTCATCACAACTATGCAACATCAGCTAGGTGGTGTGCAACTGGAAATTGGTCTATCTATTATAAGTAATTGAGAAGCAGGTATGGCTTAGTTACTCCTTCCCCATAAAGGGTGTGTTTCTGCCCAGTATGTTTTCACAACAGCTGAGGAGTTCCTTCTAATGTTACTTTTGTTCTTGTGATAATTTGTGTATGATCTGAAATGCCAGGCAAAGATTTTCTTGTGTTCATCCTCACAAAATAATTAATATGCCACAAGGAACAGAATCAGAGTTGAAATTTAAAGGTGAACTAATATAATTTGAACAGTTGATGAAGGCATTATCAAGGTGAAGTTAGTTAGCAAGATGCAAAGTTAAGTTTTATCCCCTCATGACAGTCAGTACTGTAGTTTTGACAAATATACACATACATACACACATACCTCAGCATTGTAAATTATAACTGCAGTTGCAATAGTATTTTTTCCATTATCCAAATGACTGTAATTTTCAAAACACATCTAAGTTGTTCTGATGTATAACTCTGGATCATAAATTATCACCGATTCTCCTTGCAGTCACACTAACACAAAGATTTAGTGCTCACTCGGTTTCTATCAGTTGTATAGTCTCAAGGTTCCTTTTCACTCTCATCCATGCACAAATTCAAAAAAATTCTAATGACCCATACCCCATCCATGAACAAGTTGACAATATTTTTAATTACCAATGGTGGACAAAAAACAAATTTTAGTCTGTAATGGCTTCACTCCCAATTTTAATGCAGACAGTATGTCTATACACACACAAATGAAGGTTATGAAGTTTAAAAAAATCAACATGCCAGATCACAGTTTAAAAGGACATGGCATTTGATTGTTGTTTACTCACACAGCTAGGTCTTGTGTACAGAGGACACTACTTTTAACATCCTTACCATACCAAACTGCTTTAGAATATTATTTCCAAATCTTGATGTAAGTACTCTGAAGTTATTGCAGTTAGGGTAATTTGTTTAATAATATTCAATGGAATATACAAAACCTTTTAAATTTTGTATCAAAATACATGCAAATACTGGTCAGTTACATAACTGGCCACACTTCACTGTGGCTTGCAAAGGGGAAGTAGTATAAGTGGAATACACGTTCTCACACTTTCACACACATTCTCTCTCTCTTTAATACAAGGAATTGGATTGGAAAAAGTTAATTACAGTCCAGTAATAACCTTCACTTTCCTTCTTCTTACTTTATTAAAATGAATTTTCAAACAAAACAACATAACCAAAATATAAGAGGAGCATAGAATTCTAAACAATGTACGTACGTCTTTAACCGATTCTTTGACACCACTACTGCCTCTTTACTTATGGTTGTGACAGTCTCAGAGTCAGTGAAAAGGGTAATCAAAACCAAATTCTACAATCAAAGCCTATGTATTGCCAAGTCCTGACTGACAAACAAAGCACCAATTGTTGTTTGGTACACAACTTCCAACAACCTCTTGCAATGAAGAAGACCACTCGTGCATGTGTGAATGTTTTGACCTTTATAGTAAGAAAAATAAATAAAATAAAATTTTCTTTTATAAAAACATTTAAAAAATGAGTGAGGAGAGAAATTGTCGTTTTTCTCCACACCTCCTGTTGAGTCTGCATCCACCCTTGTTTGGGAGTCATCCAGTGTGCCTGCTATCACAACTTTTAAAACATCTACACGACATATGGATTTGGATTAATGAAATTCAAGATCCATATTTTGGAAAAGTTGAGTTTCTTATGATGAACTTGGTCACATATGCAGGTCATTTCTCTCATTTTCTTTAAGGTTTGTTGAATGTTTGAATGACAATTATAATCAAAGTAAAATTCATGAATTTATATTTCAATCAAAAAGAATTCATTTAGTATTTACAATATCATTGGCATAAAAAATTAAAAGCAAACTTCGCTTGGCAGTTACTTGTGATAATCACACAATTGCCATTTAACCAATTTTTTTTTTGTATATCAAGAGTTTTTGGAATATCATGTACTTTTAGCAATTTTGCTGTACTGTACTGTACCTGAACTGTACAGTAGTATCAAGAAATAGTTGAACATTGTGACAAAGCTTGTCAAGACACACAGGACATGATAGTAGTACAAGAACACAAGAAGATCCACTTTTGATCGTCTTTTTATTTCTTGCCAAAAAAGATGGGATTCAAGTGAGACTAATACATATCCATTGGGTCATTAATTATAACAGAGCAAGACTTGAAGCAATTCAGAATCAATGTATTATCGCTGAGGGACAAATAAAAAAGCTCATAAAAATCAAAGGAGAGAATAGCTGCTCCTAACAAAAAAGATTAAATATTTTTTTCTGAAAACTAAATTGCCTTTTTTCTTGCTTAAACCAGGCACATCAAGCAACAAATTTCCTCAAATCCCATCAAAACTGGGCAAAAAATTCCCCAAAATCAAGAAAAAAATATATATATATAAATAAATAAAAAAAAAATAAAAAATAAGAATAATATTCTTTCCTCCTCTAGACTCCACTCACACAGAGCCAACACCCTGGACTGTTTATACTTCTTCAATTCCATCACCATGATACGACAAAAAATGGCAGTGAATTGGCTTGAAAACACAAACAATGAAGGCTTCTATTCATCACTGTTTGGTAACACAGATTGAAGTATCCTACTCGGGGATGGTCAACATGGAGCAACAGACATGGACACACAAATACATACGGAAATGCTTGCCTGCATCAGTAGCTTGAGGCTCCCACTCATTCTCCACCTAGTAAGACATCCTTGGACTGATCAGGCACCCACTTACCTCCTCCATTCACCATTAATGGTGCTGGCTCAAGATGTAAATAGTCCCTCTCCTCAATGCCCACCATAAACATTGGTCTACTAGTGTCTGAATGGTTAGGGACACCAAATTACTGAATGCTAAGCATGTTCCATGCTGGGTTTACATTCCACACCTTTCTATTTTTCCACAATCTGCCAATAAACGTCCAAACCACTTTTTTTTTTCTACAAATTTTCAGTATAGAAAATTCCATTACATACAGCACACCGAAAACTGATAAGAAATTTTGCCTTAAAGTCATGAAAGTTGCTACACCAAGCTCACACTACCCATGAGGGTATGCTTGGTAGAAGGGCGCCTACAAGCCTGGCCAGGACACAGATGCTGGCTAACAGCTACACCTGCCTCATGTCAGCACACAATGTCACCCATTGCTGCATTTTTCTTGCACTAAAACATATCAACAAACTGACATACATATGTATTCCTCATACATAATTACAAGTTGAATTAATAAACAAATGTGACTAAAGATACAAATGTTTCCAATTTGTTAAAGAAATTATCTTTTTAAAACTGCCAAATGTTTGTTGATGTAACCTGGCAGTTGATCAGCAACATGGAGGGAAACAGGCACAATACTCAGATGGGAAAAACCATTGTCACCAATTAATGAAAAATTTAAATCTAATATTAAAACAAAAACAACTTGTGTACCTCTGTCTGCCAGACAGAGGTCCAATGCCATCAGCCAGCACTGGGCCACCAAGACACAAGCCAGAGCCACTGTGCACTCCTTAGATTGGTCTGCACTACAGTTTACCTCATGCCCTCCTTACTTCTACACACTTTGTATAAAAAACAATGCTTCTGAGTACTCTAATACACAAACCTATCAACTACACATCCTTTATCCAACAAAAATCATGAAATACAGATAACATGATACCTCTGGAAACAAAATAATAAGCACACACGCACAGGAGACTGCAGACCAGTCTAGGATGCTCATGAAAAATCAGCAAAAAAGAAAATGTATGGGGCAAAAATCCCCAGGACTGATTGTATATACAGGTGGAACAGAAACATGGTGGTGAGGATGAGTGATCAGGCCTGGTCTGGGGATCACACATTATTACCAGCTCAATACACATGGCCAACACCCTACCAAACAGTTTTTACAGTTTTATGTAGAAAGTGATCATTCATATAAATAACATGATTAGTTACATAAATCTTTTCACAAAAAAACTCTCAGTATCAATTATAGATGTATGTAAACTCCCATTTCTTCCTACTCTGTTACTATTAAAGCTGTGTCAATCATTCTTGCATGTCTTCCTGTCGTGCTTCCTCCAAATGCACCAACAAATATGCCTTTCCACGGTCCACAAGATAAGCCTTGATATGAAGGATTGAGGGGGAGTTTGAATTTGTTGTCCAACACTTATGTTTCATGAAGCGTATGGTCCACCACTGACGTCCCAAACTCTGCACTTAGGAGAAGCATGACAAGATTCTACAGCAAGATAATTCACATACTAATTAAGTCTCTATCTATAGCAAATCATTTTACAAAGTAAGTAAACAAAGTGTGATGTGTCCTGACTTGAGGTTTCAGTCTTCGTAGATGGGGAAAGTCGGTGAATTTTGATGGTGCCGAGCCACAGCCCCGAGCACTGTCCTACCTGGCCTATTGGTCCACTGGCAGTACCAGCAGAAGCTAACAGTGAAGGCATCATGAACCATATCAATGGCCAGCACCATTCCTGACCACAGTAGTCAAGTCTTTATGTTGTTCATGTTATCTCTTTCCAAAAGCTTGTCATTTATTTTTCAAGTTTATAAGGAACAAGAGGACAGGTCCTGAGGCTCTGCTGATGGCACTGGTGGCGAGTTGGGTGGGAGCCCATGGAGGCTTGAGGGCAGTCCAGCAAGGCAGGCAGGCAGCAGGGGGACAGGACGGTACTCTGCCACTTTACTTGGGCACCATGACGCTATAAATGAGTATCAAGTACAGTCCGTATCTGGCTTCAGTGTCTATCTGCCGGCAATCTTTGCGTGACTCGTTGACGACACACAAACCGTACTGTCCCCACTCCTTGAAACTAGCTCCATGGTTCTTGTTCTTGCTCCTGCTGGTACATCATCTGCTGCTAGGTTGGGTAGTGGCAATGAAAGACAACATGACAACTGGTGGCAGTGGCTGGTGAGGTCAGTCCGCATCGGGACGGCGGCACATGACTGCTGCCCACCACCCACGCACCCGTCATAACCCTCCACACATCCACATTGAGTTTATGTGATTCCTGTTGTTTCCATATTGCTGTTTACTTGATCTGATGAGATTAACCAAACTTTGCAGGCAGTTTATGCAGAGGGTGCATGGTGGGTGTGTGGGCTGGGCAGCAGTGCACCACTCCAAGGCTCAACTCCACCACACTGCGTAATGGGCACCGGCCTAGTGTGGCCTCACACAATAGTAACAACAGTTCTATCAGTTACCGTGACTTTCTCAACAATAATTGTTTATATAACCTGCTGTGAGCCATGTTTATGTTGGGTCCTATACAGGTTCTCTATATTGAGTTCACCGAGCTTTCTATTCAACGATTCACTCACGGCTGCGTGATACATCTATCACAGTGAGTTCTTTAAATAAATGCTACACACACAGGCAACAGCCAGTTATCATACATCCCACATCAGCAAGTTACAATGCCGCCAATGACAGTAAGTCTTCTAGAATTATGTGTATCACTTACATTTATTTGTCTATAAATCCATTTTTCTATATCTCTGGAAGTCTACCAAGGACATTTGCTTTCCTTCAGCAAACAGAAGCATCAGATTTCCTGTTCTCACTGGTATCTGTAATTGGTTCATAAGCTATACAATAAACGACTCTGGTTATAGACTTCTCTTTACACTTTATACAAGAGTAGACTGGGAGTAGATTGGCAGTTTGTGGTGGGAATGGCAGCCAACACATGGGCTGGAGTAACAACAGGTCCTCCTGAGGGTAGGTGGCAACAGTAGGGTCTCTCAGCACTTGTGTGACCACTTACTGGCTGCCACAACACGTCACCATCCCCACACGTGCCTGTCACCAGTCAATCCTTTAGCATACCTAACACTGCCACGCAACTCATTTATTACTCTCACTAGGGCCCTTCTCTCCACCGTCCTTCATTTTGTCTACATAATCAGCAAATATGTCCCGAAACCGTGACCATGATTTTTCTGGGATGGTAATGGCTGTCCTGAAGTTAGTCTTAACCTGCAAGTAAACACGAGTGGAATTATTCGTCTAACACAGAGTGAGCGAGCGGCATATCAACAACTGTACACACATACACACGTATAAAAGAGCAATAAAACAGAACTTAAAAAGAGAATAATTGGTTTTCATACCTCAGATATACGCATATATATTCCTCGGTTATTCTGGCCTATGTCAAAATAAAAATTCTTGTTTTCTACTCGCATATGTCGTCCTTCGGGTAGCTCTCCCTTGTAGCCACCATCGTCTGTACCAAATTCATCAAGAAGCTCCTGGAGGGCATCCCGAAATTCTATCATTCCTTGGGCTGGGATAGCGATCTGACACCGAGGCCCACCCCTTGCTATTGTTTGTGATACCTGCAAGTTTTAAAGGTACTCATTAGGATACATCTTAAGCACAAAATTAGACATAACAATAGCCATAATATCATTCTATCGTTGTGTATACTGTATTTTAAATAGTTTAAACTTGTATTGAAATGTGTACTAAAATTAAGAAAACTTAGAAGTGGAGCAGAAATAAATATACGTATATATATATATATATATATATATATATATATATATATATATATATATATATATATATATATATATATATATATATATATATATATATATATATATATATATATATATATATATATATCTTGATAAAATCACACGGGAAAATGGAAACAACGGAGCACCTTAGCTTTCGTCTTTGTTCAAGACATCTTCAGAGGCTGTTACTTTCAATTTATCAAGAGATGCAATCATGGCCAATGTATGTATTATTCCTTTACATAAATATGTAAAAGCTCTGGCTACCTGTATTGATGGCTCATATTGTAAAGGTCTTTTGTATTTATTTGTTATTTTTCATTATTGAAATTTTGTAACCATCAAAATTTTGGTTCAAGCAGTAACAAGTGAATGTGGGTTCATTAAGCAGACAACTAGAGGGACTGAGTGTATGTTGTGCCCTTAATACAGGAGACAAGAGCCTGCTGCTCCTCCCTATTAACACGTTGTATTCTCTAAGTATACTGTAGACTCCTTAGATGCAGCACAGATTAATATGTTTTCTTAAAATATATTGTATAGTAATGGTACAGTAGTGTGCTTCAATACCACGTAAATCTTATGTACAATGGGGGAGGCAGCTTGTACCAAGAATGTGCGACATGATAACGTTACCTTTGCAAGTACAGTACAGTAGAGTACTGTACATGCAAGGGGAATAACAGTTGTAACATGTAATTAAAATTATCAAAATCAAGGAGCATAACTTACAGAGACATGATAAAACAAGCTTAGGATAATTAGGACTCCTGAGAATGACACACCAGCCCAATGATCTATAGTGTAGTGTGAATGAGGGAGAGAATGTTTGGCACATCATCATTCAGTGCTACAGTATGAATCAAGGTGAGGACAAAATTTTTCCCTTTCTTAATACAGTACTGCCAGGGATGGCTAAAACACTCTTCATTAATTCCTATACTACTGTACTGTATTAACTATATATACATTTACAAAAATATATGCTTAAAATATTTAAAAAATACACTTATAACTCAAGAAAGGTGCAGTGTAAACTTAAGTGATAATATTAGAAACTGAAACTCATTATTTTCCATCAGTAAACATTTATGACAATTCCTATTTCTTGCAGCCATAACTCACACAAGTTTTTCATCAGTGAGCCAACCATTGATATGGGAAGATCTTCAAGGATTAATTTTATCAATTAAGTAAAAGTGGCCAAAAGTTTCTACTTCTCTAACACATGTACTGGAGATGACCGACCCTCATTGTGATACGTTTTTGACCAAAACCCGTCCCACGTGATCCAAGCATGTATGTGTTACACTTCATCCAAGAACTGAGGAAACTTCTTACAAGTTGTATTATGTCATCTCCAACTTTTGCTCTTAAATGCTAAAATATTTTCCATCTTACTGAAAAAACATTTCACAACACTTTACAAAAGGACATTTGCCTCTGAACTTGTATCAAACTTATCTTTTGGATGACAGTGTGCCGAGGTAAATGGAGTGACTATTACTGTTGACTTTTACACTCTTTTAATCCTTCACTATGGGGATGCCACTTTTAATATGGTATTTGGCCAAAGCCAGACAATTTTATTCGGCTCAAAGGAGAACCTGTACACAAGGGGTTAAGTTCAATTATGGGGAAAATTTTATAATGCCCAACCTGCTCCAAGGCACAGTATGTACAATATATACTGTAGTACCGTGTATGTGACAAATCGCTATATAAATAAATACTGTAAATTTTCGCTGGCAATATATCATAAGAGATGGTCACCCAGTATTGTTAAAATCTCAGATTATATCCTTCTTATTTAGGACGATGCAATTCTGAAACCAACAGACCTGAAGCAAGTACTATGTGAGAAGAGTAACCTATCATTAAGACTCCAGGCTCTCGATATATTGTTCCACTCCTGCAGCATCACCCACTGCCACAACCTGAACACTAACTAAACTAACACCAACTACGGTACACCCATCTCTTCATTGGTCTACATACTCAAGTGTACAACATAACTCTTCACAACTACCCTACCTTCTACATGTCCTCACCATATCACTAGCAACTCTCCTATAACACTGTCTCTATCTCATTTTGGACCCTGTTGACGGAGCTCAGAAGTCTCACAGAACAGATGGAACAAGAACTCCTGTTTGCAGGCTTCACCAAGACCTGTATGGCTGCATTACCCTAAACCTTCTGACAAAAATAAGAATATAAATATATGTTGGCTACACTACAGTGGTCCATAAACAGCAAAATATTGTTACTCCACATTAGTTACACAAAATTAAAATATTTAAATCATATATTCTGACCGTGGCTTGAGCAACTGTTAGAAGGGCTGTCACCCAAGAACTTTTTAACAGACCATGTAGTTTGTTGCATACAGTACCCTGGCTTGACATATTTATTGGCATTAACAATCTTGAAAGAACCACAGCAATTTTTAAAAGGCAGACAGACCCATGTCACCCTAAACCACCACCTGCTTGTAGGGCTGTCTTGGGTAATCATCCTCCAAGATTTTGTTTGGTGAAGCCATTTTCCACGCTTGTGTGGGCTAGCCGTGTTACTTGGTGGCAACTCTCAAAGCCGTCCGGTCACATGCCTCTCTCATTTAGTTCTTAATTCTTCATGCGATTTTTTACTCTCTCTCTCCCCATGTCATTCTTGGCCTACACCTGCCTCACCCCCCGCCCCACACACACACACACATTTAGACTCTCTTGACCCAATTGGACTCCTCCATTCTCTCCACATGACCAAACCATCTCGGCCTATCTCTATGCAAATTTTGCCAATACTCTCAATACCCAGCTGCCCTCTTGGCTCTGAACACAGATTCTCATCTTTCATCATCACATCATATTCAGACACCAAAAATTTAGGTTTAGGAACTTTAATCCGTGACCCACATGTTGGTGGGCACCTTCCTCTCCCTTGTGGTGTTGTATTGGTCCCAGAGCAACTCAAGTTCACTAGTGTATGGAAATTCAGGTTTTGGTCCAGAAATCAAAATTCCAATTTTAACAACTATGTCCTTAGAACTTCAATTCAATAAAGACCTTCATCTCCCCTGGCGTATGAAACTATACAGTATAAAGTGGAGTAGTGAATGGAAGTTGAGGTTACAATTTAAGTAACAACCTTTAATAATGACCCTTCGAGCCTGAAGTCAACATACCTGAGGCAAGGTACTGTGCTGTATGCCTATGTTATGTATTATTGATCTGTTCAAACTTTTTTTAATACAGTTTAGTTATCAACATGCCATTATATAATAAATTCTGTGCGGGAATATAACCAGGCAGCCATGATCTCATACTGTTGGCAACAAACAGAATGATATCCTTCATCCTCTCCCTTGTAACACTTGTCAACAGTAAATACATCTAATAACTTGATTATCGTTCAGATAGAGGTTATGTTCCTTCCTACTGGCAGTCATAAAACAAGTGTTACAATCATGGACGACTCCAGCCACATAATCTTACCGCTACTGTGGTGGTGATGAGGTGGGGGGATTAATGGGAAGAGTAGCTGTTTCTTATTAATCTGTATGACTGACTATAGGGCTCCAGCAGCAAACTGGCCATGTTTACTTTGCAATAACAATTGACTAAATGCTGCAGGCAACATCACTTGTTTTCACCATATGGCAATGTCTTATCACATGTGAGTTTCAGCGGTCTTTGGGCTGTGGATGAAGTAGGAAATGGGGACTAGTGGTACAGTCAGGAAGAGATGGGGACAAGGAATGAATCAAAGAGGGGGATGATCAAGGCAGGGAGGACTAGAGGTAGGTCTGTGAGAGAGAGAGAGAGAGGGGGAAATGTTAAGGGGGAGATGTAGGGGATGATCAGGGAGGGAAGGCTCGAGTCTTTGAGCCATAAGGTTAAGATCATAGGAAGACTTATAAGACTTTCTTAAATCTAATCCGATTTTTTTTTTATAAAAAATCCCATGAGACGAATAATCCTACCATACATGTTGTCTTTATACAGAGGAAGGACAAACGCCTTTCTCTCATCTGCTGCACAACAATGCCATATAAAAGTGTCTGTCTCTCTCGCATTATACCTGACTTTCATCTCATTAGGCATGCCGCTTCATTTTGGGCGGGAACAAACTTTTGTCACCGACTGTACTTAATCTAACCTATACACTTAACGAAAGTATGAAACTTAACCTAACCTATATACAACAAAAGCATAATACCAATCTATACACAATGGGAGCATAATACCTAACTTATACACACAACAAAGCATAATACTGTACATAATCCTTCAATTGAATGGAAGACAATGAGACACAGTAGCAGGAAGGCATCAAAGTTATTAGTTCTTTTAATCAATCCCAACACAAGTAATACAGGCGTCCGTATGGAACAACCACCGGTACTTTACACAAACAAACAACTCCTACATTATTTCATGAACTTTGGAGATATAACCCATAAAAACCTTCAGTATATTACTTGACCCAAGCATGACCTTCCTGCCACCAGCAACTACACCTCACAACACATTAAAAACATACCAAACTCACCCTAAGGAAGCGCCCTCTTGAGTTCTCTTTGAGGTCTAGGTAGTACCGTCTGTTGTCTTTCACCATCGTCTCTGACTTGAGTTTACCATCTTCCGGTAACGTGTCGGGATTTGGCGGACCTGACCGAGGTACTAGACAATTAGAAAATGTTTTAAGGTAGCAACAAATCATGACTACAGTATACTGCTACAACACTATTAAGAAATGTTCACTATTCTGATACAGTATTTCATCTTAATCCAAGATGGCAGCAACAACCTGAATCACTTAAAACATCTGGCTGTAAAACTTAACATAATAAAGTGAGTCTATCCTTAGGGTGGATAAGGGGTGATGTTACCATTATATGACACACACACAATACCAAGATTATGAGAGACATTGTAGCCATAATCTGCTCACTCAAACTATGCACCTGAGGCCTAGGGTCAGTTTGTAACAAGGCTGGCAGCTGTTGGACACCCGACAAATCACTGAGAGTTATTTAGTATCTAATGTATCATATTTATATTCTGATATATTAAGGGATATTAACTTTCCTGCGCTGGAGAAACAAAAAATAGTTTATAAAATGCTCTGGTAACAAATTGAAAAAAAAAGAAGAAAAAATAAGAAAAATATAACAAAATTTCATCAATATCTTCTGCCATGCTGCATGACATCACACACACTGAGGAGTTGTTCAACTCACTAAACTTGTGCATCATGTTGGTGTTCTCTCTATGATACTTTTACTACTAGTGCAATTCACAAGCTTAGTTTCGACTCCCCAAGTGCGTAAATTATCACAGATCAACACAAAAAATTTAATATCCTTTAAAATATAAGAATATAAATATGATAGATTAGATATCAAACAACTGTTCCGACTCTTCCTGTGTCTGTCAATCACCTGCCTTGTTACTAACTGACCCGAGGCCTTAGTTACAAAGTTTGAGCTAACAAACTATAAATTATGACACACATCCAAACTCTTTCTGTGTTATAAAATACACAACAATTTGAAACAACTAATTTTCCTGGATGTGTTAAAAAAAGGAGACTTGATGATACACTGTACAACTATGTGTTAAAAGTTGTACAGTGATTCACACAACAGACTGTGATACTGTGTACAATAAGGATGTGGAGGTTGTTCAGGAGGCTGGAGGAAGGAGAGTAATAAACTAAGCATTATGGGACAAGGAGGCATTAAAAATCTGTAATACAGTGTCTAGTTGTTCTGTGGATCACAAAGGTTGATGCTGAAGCTGTGAAACACTTACCAAGATTAGCATAAAAGTCACTAAATAGAGATAGGTGATCTCTAAATTCCGCTGCTGTAGAGAGGGCAAGGAACACTTGGTTTCTTCTGCCGTCAGCACCAATCTGTGGACAAACAATAACACTGTAGTACTGTATATCACCATACACATTACACGACTCATTCTCATCATTTGAAAATGTTATAATGTATATTTTGTGTATTGCAATCTCTTTTTTCACCTCTAAGTAAACTTTTTGGACAGATTTAAAAAATTCATTGGTATTAACTGAATACCTGTACTGTACAGTACATGTATAATATAATGTAATTGTTTCTTAATTCTACTAACTTTAGTCATGCCATAGTGATGATGAACGGATAAGTAAACCAGCAGCTGCAGTTTGGTGGGATAAAGATTAGTCAAACTCCCGAACTAAAGGAGTTGGTGGACTAGTTATATACAGTACCAGTTTAATGCATTGAGTTGGAAAATAGATTACTGTAGTTAAAATCTTTCTTTGGGAAAATCCGAGTCATTCTCCCTAATAGGAGAAGCAACAATAATACCTTCATTAATATTCTGGTACAGTGGTTGGTAAGCAAGTACCTGTACAGTGTGTTGTGACCTCTGTATTGTACTGGTGGGACAAACCTGCACAACAATATTACCAGAATAGTAAAAGAGGTCGATTCCTTTGGGTGAGGGAGGGGGGGGGGGGCCACTGATTAAACTCTTGACTATTGATGAAAATCTTTATACAGTATTGATATGCCAAAAAGTTTAGCAACAAATATTTTAGGCAGTTCAGTACAGCGATGTTGCCCTGAGGAGCTGTAGGGCAACACTGGTGTGAACAGAGAGAGTGCTGGACGAACACTGAAAGGTTACCCAAAGACCTTGTTAAAATATGTACCGATGCAACATTACGTTCAGGAATCTTCAGCTACGACCTTGAAGTATACTGAACTATATCAAGCCATTACATGCTACAATACAATGGTAATGAAACAGTATGGTAAGTAAACAAAACATCTGACTGAGGACTAATGTTGGTTATACAGTACAGGAGTGTTGGTACGGTGTTTTATCAAACTAATGGTAATGTTTGTTCAATGATCTCTTGTAAGACGTGTGATCACAGCTCTCTTGTCAGTGTTAATCATTCTGTATCTGAGTCAGTTAGGCACCACACTTTTCTCACTCATTTATGTGTCTTCCTCTGTTATCCTGTACTTTCAATGACATCCAAGTGGTGAGTGTAGTGGGCCGGAGAGGCAGAACAGTACACTTACCAGTCTACAGAAGTTGAAATTCTACATAAATTAGATAAAATAAAGTTGCAAAACCTAAAGTAGTGGTGTGGGGTTGGTACCATGGCCATATACTGTACTACATCAAGAAGCAACATTAGAGGCTGTTGAAGCTTTATCAATCAGATCATTCGCTTTACCATAAGAGATGATGGTACTACCAGCCCACCACACATATAATCATTACATCTATAAAGAATCTAGCTCAATGTGGCCTAGCCTCTGTGTTATTGTTTATCAGTTGTACGCCGAGACCTCTACTTAACGGACCTTTATGGAGAGAGAAGTCCGTTATAAGAAGGTTTTACTGTATACTTCTTTGTTTTCGTTCCATACTCAACCTACATCCATCCATTTATCATCATCTCGATTCCAAACTCAATCTTTCACCCTTTGACGTCTGAAGGTTGAAGTCATCAATTTCAGAGGGTTAAATCATTGTCATCAAAGGGTCAAATTATTGTCAAAGGGCTAAATTATCGTCGTCAAAAGGGTTAAATCAATGATGTCAAAGGATTAATTATTATCAAAGGGTTAAATCATAGTCCTTAAAGGGTTAAATCATCATCAAAGGGTCGAATTACTGTCAAAGGGTTAAATCATTGTCGTCAAAGGGTCAAATTATTGTCAAAGGGTTAAATCATAATCAAAGGGTTAAATCATCGTCGTCAATGGGCTAAAGCATCAACAAAGGGTTAAATCATCGTTGTCAAAGGGTCAAAATATTGTCGAAGGGTTAAGTCGTCATCAAAGGGTTAAGTCGTCATCGTCATCAAAGGGTTAAGCCATAATCAGTACTGTACAAGAAGCCACCACAGTACTCACCTCCGCCACCTTCATGAACCGGCCGCGTCTGTTCTGTTTTACATCTATGTAGAACCGCTTACTCTGGATCTGAAGCATCTTCGTGGCTAGCTCCTGCTCCCCCACCTGTTGTTGCCCTGTTGACCAGAGAAAGAAAACAAAGTTATTAAAGTTGTAAAGTAAATATTTCATAGTTAACTGCCCTGTACATAAAATAAAGGTTTAATAAGCCTCTTAACATTACCTTAATACCTCACCTCTTAACACTGACACACCTGCACCTCTTAAGTTATTATCACACTAATGAAACTAATATTACTAATATAATGACCTCACTGGGAAGAACGCCTTGTGTGGATAATTACCAGGCAGCATCCCACAATAATTACTCCCACCCACAACACAACTATCATCACTTACCTCCCTCACAACATCTTGCTCAGGCCACAAACCAACACAACAGAATTAATAAAAGTCACGTGTGTTTCTGTCATATTCCGTAACTTGTACTACAACCACACGTGACATATCCACAGAAAATGACGCTCGGATATAGACAGTATTAACATGTATATACCAAAGATTAACTTCTCACAGGACACACACACACACGAGTAACACTCGTGAGGGCAAGAAAAAAAAAACGCAAGTGTCGTGGAAGAACAGGATGGTTATAGGAAGGTAGAGTGTGTGTGTGTGGGGGGGAGTGAGGGTGTGTGTGGGGGGTGAGGGTGTGTGTGGGGGGTGAGGGGTGTGTGTGTGTGTGTGTGTGGGGGGGTGGGGTGTGTGGGGGTGAGGGGTGTGTGTGGGGGGTGGGGTGTGTGTGGGGGGAGTGAGGGTGTGTGTGTGTGTGTGGGGAGTGAGGGGAGTGTGTGTGTGGGGGGTGAGGGGTGTGTGTGTGTGTGTGGGGGGGGTGGGGGTGTGTGTGTGGGGGGGGTGGGGTGTGTGTGTGGGGGTGGGGTGTGTGTGGGGGGTGAGGTGTGTGTGGGGTGTGTGTGGGGTGTGAGGGTGTGTGTGTGTGTGGGGGGTGGGTGTGTGTGTGTGGGGGGAGTGGGTGTGTGTGGGGGTGTGTGTGTGAGGGTTGGTGAATGAGGTGTGAGGGTTGGTGAATGAGGTGTGTGTGTGTGTGTGTGCGCGAGAGGGTGGATGAGTAAGGTGTGTGGAGGGAGGGTGAATGAGCCACAAGTGTGCAGTGTGTCGACCACATGTGCTGCCCTGTGGTGGAGGTATTCTGGCTGGCGGTCATCTTGAATCACAGTGTGTGTGTGTGGCTCTGGTTATCGTCGTCAACCACTAATGCTGTAGGTGGAGGTGTCGTGGGCGGGTGCAATGACACAGCCTCATCATATTAGGGTTAGGAAAGAAGGGTGTTTCCGTGTACCCGGCCCCACACCGTCAGTTTCATCAATATACACAACATCGACAAGTGCACCACCAGCGTCTGTTACCTAACGCAAACACACTGATCTGCGGTATGATGTGTCTACAGTAATACAACGTCGCGTGCTAACAAATTATCCTCCTAAAATAGAACGAAACTGAGCAATGTCGTCAAGAATTCCTACTGGTGCTTGTACTGTATATAAAACCCTATAATTTTTAGAATACTTTTACACACGAACATTCCATCTGGTGAACAGTGGAGCAGATGAATGGTAGATGATGAAGTAACGGCGACGCTTACTGGGTGAGACAGCGAGACACAAGAGGCGGCAAGTTGTTTTATGGAGGTATGACTTACACCACCACGAGGGAGACCCGCTCTACTTGGTCTAAAACTTTTGGTGTTGGTGAAGAAGATACTCCACTACTCCTACAGTACAGCACACACCTCAACCTCGCCAGGACGTGTGGTTGGCATTACACCACACTGTCTTGTCACATCAACCTTTATGTATACTTGCAATACGTCTCTGGACTACAAGCCTGTGTTGGCTTGGTGTGTTCCCAACAGGAATCAAGAGTAGTTCATAAAGTTTGTACCTTGTTCCCTACTGCATGTAACATGGTCCAAAGACTGCAAAATGTCCCCAGTTGCAAACAACATTGAATTGAATTGTAACAGTTTATTTAGCCAGAAAAACACAGATACAGAGTGGATAATAATAACAATATTAACATGGCTGAGCCAGTTGAGAACCTGAGCTCTCTTTGAGGCACCTGATATATACTATACATTTATCTCAAGGAAGTATTATGTAACATTTAGTATCATCTGGAATAGTACAATAGCATGGTAGTAATAAGAACATGTAACCACGGTTATCACTTCAATATTTATTTATTTTATTATTTTGGCGCCAGCTTCAAGCTGAAAGGTGCCAAGTCTGCAACACGTTCCCAGCTGCAAGCAGCAATATGTCGCCAGCTTGCAACATGTCCCAAGTCAATACCATAAAAGTGAAAAGTGTCCATGAGACGTGTGAAGCAGACTACCCAACGTGTCGGTGGCCTGTGAACTATTTCCTGCAACAACAAGAGCGGAGTTGGCTGCCAGCAGATGGCCACCTAGCTAACCCCAGTACAGTACAGTACAGTGCTGTGCTGTGCTGTGCTGTGCTGTGGGAGGTGTTACACATTCCGTCCTGACTGCAAGGAAGGATGCAGTGGCAGCTGTCTGAGATATATGCCAAGCGGAAACCCTATGGGGAGATGCATCTTGTAACACGTTCCCTGTCGCGGGTGATAGCGCTGGTGCCCACTTGCCACACGTCCCCAAACTACGACCGTGAAGGAGAAGATGCCGTCAGTGTGTACAGTAAGCTCCCCCTTAACTGACGGGGCCCCGGCGGGAGGCTAGGCTAGCATGTATAACACGAACGTGGGCCATGCTGGGCGTGTGGCAGCAGGCAGGCGTGGGTGGTGGGGAGTGGGTTGTGTGCTTGGATGTGTTTTGGCGAGGAAGGGAGGGTGGGGGTGAGGGGCGGGCGGGCAGACAGTGAACGACCTCCACACTCCAGACGGCCTCACTTTAGAGCGCGGTAATATTAGCGAGTCACGTGTGGTGGGCGGCCCCGCTGACCCAAGCTGCCCTGTTACCTGGCGTGACACAGTGTCACACTGAGGTAGGTGTGGAGCCCTCCACCAGGCTCCACACAATAGTACGCTGCCTCAGCCACACCAAGTGGCCAGTAGCGCGCCACGATCAATAGCCGCTGAAGGTCGTCTCTTGCCAGCGCCACACCATCACTACCCCCCCCCCCACTATTGTACACATAATACTTATTGTTCTTGTCATAAATAACCTCAGTGTGGCCACCTGACTGACTCCCTCAGTATCATCCATAACTTACATCCCTCACCTAGTCTCCCCCCCATATATACTTTATACGTCAATACTTAAAACACTCACAGAGTTCCATTTTCGCTTCTTGGGTATAAACGATCATCAAATTGTACAGGTGCAGCCCACCCCCATCCTACCCAAGTCATGGTACACACAGTGAAGGTTTACTGATCAAGCTGTCCCTGGCGGCCACCACTACCCCACTGACCACAGTACCTCCTGTCACCATGACAACCAACAGTTAGAACAGGTGTGTGTGTGTGTGTGTTTTCAGTAATCGGGTACAGACGGTTGGACCATCATAACGGAAGTAAAAATCTTGACACACACATCCTTCACCTGTACACCAAGATTTCTGATTACCAGGAGCAATTAATTATATACAGGTGTTGATTACATACGGGCGGCCCCAGATAGCAATAGTCTATCCCACTAGGGCTCATTTTTTATTACCTATGTCGATGTTATTGCCAAACTATTATCATTAACTTTATTATGACTTATTATTACTACTACTATTATTGGTATTATTATTGTTTTTGTTGTTATTGCTACTACTGCGTTTTCATAAACACACATTTCCTCACACAACTTCATAAATAAAAAGTTGTTAATAATATTGGACAGTATATGATGCGTATGGGGAGGGGAGGGGAAGGATGGGGGAGGAAGGATGGGGGAGGGGGATGGGGAGAGGATGGGGGAGGGAGGGATGGGAGGAGGGATGGGATCGGTGGATGGGAGGGATAGGGGGGGAGACAGAGCCAAAACAACAGTGTCTGCAGCAAGCACCCGCCGCCACATCATCCACCATACGCCGCCACTCACACCGTCGGTCATGCCCAGACAACCTTACTACACGTTCACCTGAAGAATATGCACCCCAGCTAATTTCACCTGAAGATTAACCACCCCCTCCTACCCCGTGATAAACAGACACGGAGGAGAAATTGTGATGTACTGTATGGGAGGGCAATGATTCCACACACTCTCTCCTTGAAAATACAGTGTGTGTGTGTGTGTGTGGTAATCAATGAGGAGCAACACGTTAATAACAAGAGCCTGGAGAGTGACATTCCCACACACACACAGTACTGACTAATCTGCTTCTATCAATCACCCCACACAAATATATGGCGACATGTTTTGGTGACGAGTGAGCTAGTAATGGTGGTGGAGTCATAGCTGGTGGTGGTGGTGGTAGTAGTAGTAGTAGTGGTGATGGTGGTGGTAGTAGTAGTAGTGGTGATGGTGGTAGTAGTGATGGTGGTAGTAGTAGTAGTGGTGATGGTGGTGGTAGTAGTAGTAGTGGTGGTGGAGTGGTAGTAGTGGTAGTGGTGGTGGTGGTGGTGGTGGTGGTGGTGGTGAGTGGTGGGGTGGGAGGGTGGTTGGTAGTGGTGGTGGTGGTGTGTAGTGGTTGGTGGTGGTGGTGGGTGGAGGTGATGAGGTGGATGTGGTGGTAGTGGTGGGTGAGTGGTGGTGTTGGTAGGTGGTGGTGGTGGTGGTGGTGGTGGTGGTGGTGGTGGTGGTAGTAGTAGTAGTGGTGGTGTGGTAGTGGTGGTGGTGGTGGTGGTAGTGGTGTGGTGGTGGTGGGTGGGTGGTGTGGTGGTGGTGGTGGTTTGGTTGGTAGTGTGGTAGTAAGTGGTAGTGGTAGTAGTGGTGCAGCAGTAGTGGGTGGTGGTAGTGGTGGAGGTGGTAAGTAGGTGGTGGTGGTGGTGGTAGTGGTGGTAGTAGTAGTAGTGGTGGTGGTAGATGGTGGATGGTGGAGATGGTGGTAGTGGAGATGGTAGTAGTAGTGGTGGTGGTAGTGATGGTAAAGTCATGGCTGGTGGTGGAGCGTTAAAGACAACA